CGAAAAATACACGATCCTGTCGAGCGCACCGAGAGTGCCGGCGATTCCTTGGGTTCTACCTGTCTGGTAGGTGTCCGTCCCGTGCTTGCCGCATGTTGCAATTGCGGGTTGTTGTTCATATTATTATGTGTGTAGTTTTCTTTTCTTTTCAATTATTTTTTTTTACTTTTATTCTAAGCATGTTTTGTGGCTGAGGATTTCGTCTACTTGGCTCGGTTCGGCTTGCATTCTTTATTATCGCGGCCCTCGGCCTATGTTTAATTTATGCACAAGAAAATGTGTCCATTGTCTTTTGAGTTGTTGCTGCCGTTGCCGCTGATGTTGTTGCTGTTGTTGTTGCAGTACGTGCGCATGCGCGATAATCGCATATCAATAAGGAAATATCCGTTACGTGACTTATATATCTAAAAAACCCTCGTCTGCAGTTTTTTTTCTTTAATATATTTTTCTTTTTGGCCCAAGACCCGCATAAGTCTGCCTAATCCTGATCCAGATGCTAGACACGTAATCATAGACTGAAGCAAAACCCCAAAAATAGTTAATTTTATTGCACTTGCGCGCCCTGCTTCCACTTTGGATGCGCTGGGAACGGAAGCAACAACTGCAATTGCTGTTTGGGCTATGGCTTTACCAAGAACTTGTTGCATTTCCGGCCAGTTGAAATTGTCACTCACCTCATGTCCGAATTGTGCCAGCGCCTCCTTAACCGCTGCCATGTTCGCCGAGGTCAGAATGCTTTGGATATCGGCGCCAGTGTAGTTTTGGGTTCTGCCCGCAAACCAATCAAAGTCCACGCATTCATCCAGATTGAGCGTTGCGCTAAGCGCCTCGAAGATGCTCACGCGCGCCACTGCATCCGGCAGCGGGCACTCCACGAGGCGATCAATGCGTCCGGAGCGCAGCAGTGCTGGATCGAGCAGCTCGGGTCGCGATGTGGCCGCAATAACCGTTACGCCCTGCAGCCCCTCCACGCCATCCAGTTCGGTGAGCAGCTGGTTGACCACACGGTCTGTTACGCCCGTGGAGTCATGGCCACGCTTTGGCGCCAAGCTGTCGAATTCGTCGAAGAAGAGGACGCAGGGCTTCGCACTGCGCGCCCTATTAAACAGATTGCGCACATTCTCCTCACTCTGGCCAATGTACTTGGCCAGCAACTCGGGACCCTTGACGGAAATAATGCGCAGACTCCAGCAGCGTGCCAGCTGTGATACCAAAAACGTTTTGCCCGTTCCAGGTGGGCCATAGAGTAGGACGCCAGCCTGATTGCGCAAAGGCGATGCGTTGAATATCGTCGGATACTGTTGGAAGAGAATGGATAAATAAGTATATATGTAAAGTTTATATTATTATATTATTAACTCACCGTTGATGGCCACATGAGCACCTCCTCAAGCACACTGACCACAGGCTCCAGTCCGGGCAGCTCCTCCACGCGCATTTCATTGGCATTCGCTTCGGCGCCAGTCTTTTGATTGCTTTGAATACCCTGCAGGCAGTAAGAATTCGTGTGTTCGAGGGATTCTATGAGCTGATCATTCGTTAACAGCGGCTGCGCTTTGCCTATCAGCAGGATAAAAAACTTGGTTAAGACTGCTCGATAACTGATTTCAGCGACTTACTAATGCGATAGGCGTAGAAAATGGCGCGCTCCACAAACTGTACAAGATCGCACTTCCGATAGCCTTCCGTTAGGTTAGAGAACTTGACCACATCCAAGTCCCTGGACGCAATATGACTGCATAGTTCACGCAATATAATCTCACGATCGGCGCGCTCTAAGCTGGGTAGCCGGGCCACGGTTTGGAACAGATGTCGACCACGTGGCGCACTGAGGCGCTTGTTCAGCGTCTGCAGCTCACTGACCGTGGCAATGACAGCAATCGCATTGCTGCTGGTATACTGCATGATGAGCTGATGGACAGTGTCTGCCATGCGGTTGAAGTACTCGCCATCCTGGCTGGACTGCTCGCCGGCAGCATGCGCCAGCACATCCAGATTCTCCAGCACCACAATTGCAGGTGCATGCAATAGGCAGGAAGTGAATATGTTACGCAAATCCTTTTGTATTGATTCCGTTTTGCGTCCTTTGCTGCGCGAACAGTAGAATATATCAAAGTAACAGTAATCCGGTTGCCTGGACAACTGCTCCAATATGCGCTCCACTAGCACCGTTTTGCCAGTGCCTGCGGCGCCGGTCAGCAGCACATTGCCCTGTCGCAGCACCGAGTTTTGTGAGTTGAGGCACAGATTCATGCGCAGCTCGCTGACCACTTGATCCACAATTCGATCATACTCTGGCAGTCGTATCAAATCCTTGACGCTTAGTGGCGTTTTTGCTGGCGGTCGCTCCTTGATAATTTCATTCACGGGACGCACCAAATCGGCGGCATAGATTTTCGATTCTTTTAGGAACTGTGCGTCCACAACGCAATAGCGAAAATGATCGGGCATTATACCCACTGTCACCAGCAGATCGTCCTCCAGGCGCACCACCTCCTCCTGATTGAACAACATGGCCGCTTTTTGCGTTCTCTCAATCACAAATCGCTTAAATGCATTCTCAATAATCTTGTAATGCGTCTTCTTGTGCGCAAACAGCTCAATCTTCTCCACAAAGTTCACGACCGTCGTCTTGGGGCGCAGCACAACTCGCTCCAGCTCCTTAATGTTCAGTAGCTTCATCAGATTCGCATTTAACTCGATGGAGGGATGAATAGTAGCTGGCAAATCTCCATCCTCGTCATCGCAGGCTAGTCGCACACGCACATAGTACTCCTTATCGCCAGCGGTGCGCATGCTGTAGAACTGCTCCAGATCCATGAATTCGGGCAAATGCGATTGCGTTATGTACACATCCGATTCCTGTGCCTTCTCATGCCAGAGTCCTCGTATGACACGAAACTCGAAGACACGTGAGCTCTCACGGCGCAAATCCTTCTTCAAACGATCCATGTGATCCTGCCTCTTGTTCCGTTGCAAGTTGTTTTTCACATTGCTCATTGTTGCGGAGTGCATAAGGGCTGACGGGGTCGTTTTCACCTCATCACGCACCTGCGCACTGGTCTTGCTGCGCGAGAGTTTATTGCTTTCCTCGGCGTTGTCGTTATCATTGCCATTGGTCAGACCCTTGAACAGATTTGGCGCCACAACCAGCTGCGTGTTGTGATCAAGACGTCCATAGTTTGTATGCGGCTTTAGGCGATCTTTAGAGAGGATTAAAAGTGTTGTTAGTTGTGGTGCGCCAAGCATTAATCAAAATATTTACCCACTGTCAGCGCCACTTGCATCGACTTGTTTATCCAGACTAGCAAGATTTGCGATGAGTTTACAATGCGCGTTTGTTCCAGTACGCTGCCAGAGATTTTCTCCGTGCTCAGCTCCTGAAAGAATATTTTATAAAGATTAGTTTCTATCATATCAAGGATGCTAAGAAGATGATAAGAAGCTTTTTGCAACATGTTTTAAAGTGTGTGTTTAATAGAGAAAACGCATAATTGTAAAAAAAAGAAAAAGAGCGTGTAAGATAGATAGAGAGATAGAGATAGAAAAAGAGAGAGCAATAGAGATTATGTTAAAAGCATCGCTCTATGCAATCAATTCAAAATTTAAAAAAGGCTTACATATGAAGCAATAAAAGAGGATGAGTAAAATAGTTAGGTGACAGATACATATAATTTTATTACAAGGTAGCAGTTATCTCTGTTAATAATATTTAATTATATAGGGCAAAAGCATAACAGTATAAAAAAGTTTGATAATGAAAATGAAAGTCTAAACACAATCAATCTCAATAATTCAATTACTGTATTTAAACTGTTGACCGTTACTTTAAGATTGTCTATCCCTGATAAAAGAAAGCCCCGTTGGGGTCAATGGCAATGCCGGCGAAAACTAGCGGCTGCACATAAATAAACACTGCAAGCACGCCCGCGCCAAAAGCTAATCCGATATAAAATTATTTTTATCTGGCCGCAGCCACACACTCACACACACGTACACGCACGCACATACAAACGTTTATATGTGTGTGTATTTATAAGTATATATGTAGATAAGTACTCACAATGATCTCCCAATCTTTGGCCGAGACGGGCGTGACGTGCACGCTGCGCAGATTTAGAACGTCAGCGATGAGGGCGCACTTGACCAAATCGTTTTCATGCAGACCTATAAGAAAACGGAGAGCAGAGTGCATTGTAGCGTATATAAAAACGATAATTTGGCAATTGGCAGCACATTGGCACTTCCGCTTATTAAGTAACTCACCGAGCTCCTTGGCCGCCCTGGCATTGATCCCAATTTCGGTGTCTTTGATGCCACCGCCGCCCGCCTGTGGCGCCCAAGAGGCATAGTGCACACGGCCATTGTACTGAAGGCTAAGGCAGCCAGTGTCCTAAGTAATATACAATTTATATTATATTCCCATGAAAACTTATCTAATCTGCGGTCCAATGGCATATTAAGTTGACTTTTGGACACTCACATAAGTTGAAACGACACCGTAGTACTGATCGGGCAGCAACAAGAAGTTGTTACGAATCGGCCGATAAACCACTTTGAATGTGCGTTTAAACATTCTCCCGGCTGGCGCGCACTATGTGACACAATTAAACGCAAAATTTTAGTGTGCAATCGTGTTTAAATCATATTTAAATAAAAATTTCCAATAGGAGCTAAATTTTCGCGACCAGCTGTTCCACTCTTGTGGCTGGACTGCCGCTCACTAGAGATGAGCCATAATGTATCGATACATAACATAACAGAATTTTAAATTAACATTGCTTTTTAAACGTTATCGCGCTGTTATTAAAATAAAAAGTTGGCAGCTCCGCAAGACCAACTGTTGCTGCACATATTTAAACATTATAGCACAATTTAAAAAACGCGCCAACAATTAAATATGATGTACTGTTAACGAGGTAAATGTTAATAATTGGTTCTTAAATACAATTAACAAATTCTTTGCTTGGCTTGTTTACTTAAAAATATGTTAACTTAACTTACAATACAGCATGCATGTATGTATATTTATATGCAAACATCTTCCAAGAATAAATGTCGTAATTTTCATTGATCCCACGGATCGTTTGCACACTTATAAATGCAATAACAATAATCGTTGGTTTCCGTTACGTGAGGAGAATAGTGAGCCTTGCAATTACAGAGTACATTCGAATTATCTTGATACGCAATAGAAACTAAAATTGTTATTGACTTACTTCAATATACCACGTAGCAAAATGTTTGAAGACTCTGTTCCAAAGCAATCATTAAATGCTGAACGACCTGACCGCTAATGCATTTTGCCTCCGCAGCCGGCGCACCCTGTATACCAGCACTAACGCAGTTCCAAGCAGAATCAGCAGCATTATCATCCCGATAGTCACAGTGAAACCCATGGGATCGGATCGGTAGAGATCGCTGACATACAAATAGGGCAGATGGTCGATTACCTGCAGATAGAAGCTGGCATTGCTGCTGCCCAACGAACTGGACGCCACACACGTGTACCAGCCCTCGTCCTGGTGCGTCACATTGTTCAGCAGCAGCAATTCGCGCTGATCCACTGTGGTGTTCAACGGTAAGCGCACCAAATCTCGATCCAGTGAATCCAATTTCAGGGGCCGTGAGTGATTGTGCTGCATCACACGTATCCACTCGACAGCCGCTTTAGCATCGGACAACACATCGCATTTCACCTCCACCCGAGTGTTGATCAGCGCCGTTTTATTGTCCATCTTCTTAATTTTTGGCGAGGCACGGAGGCGATCGATGACCACAACGGTGAACTCGAAGTCAATACAGCCGAGGGTGTTGCACACCGTGCACTTGTACATGGCCGAATCCATTGAAATGACATTCGTCATGATCAGGGACCAGCGCCGGAACTTGTAGCCACCAATATCACGCTGCAGTGGCTCATAGTCTTCTCCCCTCTTGAAGGTCCAAGAGGTGTTTGCTGGCGGATTCGCTGTGTTGGGGCAAGAGAGGATCAGGGTTTCGCCGGAGACCAAATGTTGCAAGCGATTCGAGGGCTTTGTAAACTTTGGCAACTGCTTCTGCAGCGTTCGCACCTCTGCATCGTGCCGCAGCTTGGCTTGTTGCCGCAGGGAGTTATACTTTTTCAGACAATTCGATAGTGGGTCCACCTGTGGATCCTCCAACTGGCTGCTGCTGCTGCTGGTTATGATGAAAATAACGATCAGCAGCCTTTGCATTGTCTAGTGGAGTAATTGAGTTGTTGCTGAATTTTTTAAAGTGAGTGTTGTTGCCGTTGACAAAACACTTAAATTTGCGGTTGCGACTGGCATTTATATATTCGCGGATGAGCTCCCGCACACCAAGTGCGAGGCATAATAATCGATAGATTAGCAGTAGTTATCGTTCTGGTATATAAAAAACAAGCTGGCAACACCAAAAGCAATCTGTTGCTGCAAATACAAAACCGAAAGCTCTGGAGCATTTATGAATTTTAAATTACGCGCTTCCAGTTAAAAGTCTGGCAGCTCTTGAGAATTTTTTAAAATTTATATCACAAACTTTGCGCAGCTTTACAAAAACGAACTTTTTCTTTTGGCTAGTTTATTTGGTTAATAATTTATTTAAAATAGTTAGTGTTTATGTTTTAATATGTCTGTGTATATGTAAATATATATGTATAAAAATGCGGCATCTGTTCTTGTATTTGTTTTTCGTATACCATGCTGATTTCTTATGAAATTAAATAACACAATATTTAAAACTAACAATGCAGCGTGCTAGTTCATTAAGGGTTTCGTTCATGTTCGCTTTATTTCCTTTTTTTTGGCAAATTAAAAAACGTTAGAAAAGATATGCAAAAAGACCATCTCATTCATGCCAATGGCACTACAAAATTTATGTATTACTCGTAGTACATACATATGGACTTATAGTTCAACTAAATTCGATAAGTTTTGAGTTTTAATAAATGGAAAGACACTAACCGTCTGTTTGAAAAAGATCGTTACAAAGCTTTTTTTAAGTGTATTTAATATATATGTGTAGGCGTGTATTTTTGTATAATATAAACTGCTCCATATCAGTCTTCGTCATAATTTTGTGGCTTGTGAGAATAAATTGGCTCATAAATTGCATATATGTACGTAGTATATACATGTGTATATATATTTTTCTTTGTATAAAAAATCTACATAAAATGTTATAAAATGTTTTGTAATTGTTATTGTATATATTTTGTAAAAAACTTTCTAAAAATGTATTTCGTGTGCAAAAAATTGTTCATGTTGCTTGCAATATTTGGCGCTTTTATTTGTTTATTGCAGTTTTGTTTTTTCATTTCTGTATAAGCTGTGTGCGAAATGTGTTATATACTTGTAATTTATAATACAACAAAATTTAATATAAAAACATAATAGGAAATTTACAATTAATTGTATGATGCTCATCATACAATTTATTACTTAAACAAAATGTTTAAGAATGTTAAAATTACAACTAAATACAAAAATAGTGTTGGTTTTAAAAAACTTCTTTGCCATCTCGGATGCAAATCAAAATTCCAATTTGGTTTAAGACTTATTCGAAAATAATGATTAAAATATATATATGCATACATATATTTACACACTTTAAAATTAACATTTAAAATTGGATAAATACACTGTAAAATGTTTGTAAACTTGCAACTCATAAGCTATGCAATCAAATATAAAAAGCAATTTTACAAATTTCGGCGATAGAATATCTCAAAAAAATAAATGAGATTCACAGAATAGTACTGGATATTTAAAGATATATTATGCAAAATAATAACGAAAAATATATTCGAATGATAGCACAAGGGTAAAAGGGGTTCGGGAATGTGTGTACGAGTGTGTATATGAGTGTGTGTATGTGTGTATCCAAACAATTAAATCGCCCAATCACATATTGCAGTTTCTTTATATAAGACGTTTACATATTCGTTTTTCCCATCGCTTTTGAATTTTGATTTTTGCCATTGCCCTGCCAGGCAGCTAGCCTAGCAGTCCATTTCCTCCATCGTGCGCGACAAGCGATTATTGTCAATGCGTCGGCGTTGGGAACGCCTCACCGCGTCCGCCCTTCGATACGGCTCACTCTTGAGCCCCAGAAGTATATCCTCCAGCGCTCCATTGTAGACCTCGTCCTGCTGCAGCAGCTTCTTTTCCCGCACCGAATGCGTTTTGCTCTTCAGCTCATTGATGACGGCATCCTGCAAGGAGAGTGCGCAAGTTGTAGGCAACTGATTGACAACGTGCATTGAAAACAAAAGAGAAAAGTTAGATATTAACCAGCACCGGAAGTGGCCAAATAAGCATAGCATGGATTAAATTACCAATTTATCTTTTTAGAGTATATGTATTACAAATAAGTGAAAGATTAGTAAGTTTTCGAGGATTATTATAAATTTAGAAAATGTTAGAAATGTTCCTTCACTTTAAACATATTATATATACACACACACACACACACAAACATTTATTTGGTACACATGTTTCGAAAAGTGAGATCACATGGGAATTGGATTAGCAGACAGCGATATGGCATGTAAGAGGCGTTAGGGATTAGCATGGGGGACCGTCAAATAGTTAGGGACAGTTACACACAAGCCAAGCGACTTACACTAGAATATAAACACAAACAACTTCCGTCACATGCTGCCCCAAAGTACTCGACTAGATTCTAGTGGATGGTGTTGGTTGTATTGGTGGTGGTGGTGGTGGTTGTGGTGGTTGTGGTGATGATATTGGTGGTAGGTTGCTTGGGGTTAGGTTTAGGTTGCTGGCCCAAATTCAAACCGAACCCGGCAGCCTCCCCGCCTAATTTGTGTATTACTAGAATGTGTGTTAGCCAAATAACCGGTACGTGCTAGGGTTGAGTTTGCCTTGGGGAGCGAGGATTATACATAGTAGTATTGTATGCAGTTAGGGAGACATTTCCACAGTGCTATGCTGCTTGGCAAAGTCAAGCAGGCAATGTATTTGCTGCATAAATCAAAAGCATAACAGGTTACATTTCCAGAACAGAACAGAATCAATCAAATGAATGACACAAACTTGAAGGAGTTGGTCGTCTTGGTGGCTGATAAGCTTCCAGTCAGCCGTCCACTCACCTGTTGCTTTTTCTGACTGAACTTGTTGCGCAGCATGACCTGATCACTTTCCTTTTTCGATGCCGCCAAAGCAGCCGCCTGCTCCAGCCGACGGCGCTGTTCGTTCTCCTGGTCGAGTTGCTGAAATTAAATAGATTTCACATTTTTATTGAATTCCAGCAAAATTGGCCAGCCATGTGCTTACTTTAAAGGCGCGCGTAAAGCGCACAATCAATGCAAAGAATGCCGCTGCATCCGCATTGCGTGAGGAGTCCCCAAAGTATTCGACGCACTCCTTGAACGCATCCTGCGCCAATCGCAGATCGCTCTTGATCTTCTTCAGTTTGTCTTCGCTGTTGTTTAGGAAATCCCGCAGTATGTGTGTTTGCGTGCCCTTAACACGCAACTCGGCTTCCTTACGCACCAGCTCCATGCCCTTATCCAGCTCCTGGACATCAGCCACAACGTTCTCCAATGCCACAGATGCCGCCTTATCGGTGCCATACAGTTCGCACTCAAAGCTCAATAGCTCGGGAAATTTGGCCCGAATCGTGGCCACAATGTAGTGCAGCAACGAGGAGCGCTTGTCGGTTGACTTAGTGTCAATCAGAGTGTCCAGCGACTGCAGCTTAAAGCCGTAGGCCGGACCACGCTTGTTGCTATTGAGATAGTTGCCAAAGGCCAACACAATTTCCAGCACAGCTTTGAACTTGCGCGACTGTTTCAGCGAGTTGGAGGCACTGGCAATCGATTGAACTTGCTATAAATGGAGAATAGTAATGAGGAAATCGATTTAATAGATTCTATCGATGGTATATACTCATCCATTTAATACTAACCGGGCTAATGAGATGTACGCTATCGACAAAGTTGCCCATGTAGTTCATAATGGCTAGCTTGGAGGAGATGCGTTCAACGCGTGACAATTGCAACATGAATTTGTCCTCCTCGGTGAGTAGCTGCTGATCCTTACGCTCAATTATGTACTCCTTGTAGGCCTTAACCTCCGCATCGGTGGGCACCATCTTTTGCAGCAGCTCCACATTCTCCAGCGATAGCTTCTTTAAATCCAAACTATGTATGGCAGCAACAACATCATCAATGGGCATGCCCAATTTACGACGAGAGATTGCTGAAAACAGAACAAATATGTAAGAAGACAAAAGCACTTGGTATATTTCTAGGCTGTGTACTTTACCTATGTTTCTTAACCTCGTGTGCTCCAGCAGGGAGACATTATCAGGCTTCTTGAAACGTTTACTGGGATAGGAGGACAGGGCGCCATCCACCTCGCTGCCATTGCTACCATTGTGCAGACCACCGCCGATGCCGATTTTGAAGCGTTCTTCAAATTCGTTAAAGTCGATTTGCTTGAAGATCTTCTCGTCGTCCAGCTCATTGAATATGGTGCCGCGAACCTGTTGCAAAAGAGGATCGAGGGATTAGTAGAGAAAATAAAGTAATCAAATTATAATTCCTCACCTGATTCGGCTTGAGCGCTATCCAGTTAAGCGTGGGCAGCTTGTATTTGGTGGGCACCTTGCGCTTGATGGTCATAGCACCATCTGGAGCTGGCATGAAGCCTGCCACTGGTGGCGGCGGTGGCTGGAAGGAGCTCAGCATGGGCGGGGCATGTGGCGGCGAGGGAGCTGTGGAAGTTACGCTGCCATTCGGACTGCCCAGCGGACTCAGGCCCGGCATCATGGGCGGCGGTGGCGGTGCTGGTGGCGCTGGTGGTGGCGGCGGCGGCGGAGCTGTTGTTGCTGGCATGGGTGGCGGTGGTGGAGGCGGTGGTGAAACTGTGCCTGTTGCTGATCCCGTCAGCAGGCTGCCATTCACCAGCGAACCATCGCCACTGGACGCTGAACGCGGCAGTGAACGCGATAGTGTTTGCAGCTCCAGATTTTTATTGTGAAGCAGCGTATCGCGTTTCTTGAGCTCCTGTTCGTTCTGCTGCAGCATGCGTTGCAGGGCATTCAGCTGCTCCTCCAGCTGTTGCCGCATCACGGCCAGTTGTTCACGTTCCGTCTTCAGTGTCAGATTCTCCGTCTCCAGTTCGGCGAATTTATAACAGAACTCCGAGTTGCGATCTATTTCGCGCTCCAGCTGATCTTCCAGCTCCTGTACGCGCTCCAATGCAGATGTTTTCGTTTCCGAATCCTCCATCAATGCAGCCACATCAAACACATTATCCAGATAGGCCGATATTTGCACTTTTAACTCCTCGGACTCGGTTAACCGTATGCGCTCCAGATACTTATCCAAGCCCAGAGCCGTAAACTCGTACTGCAAATGGACCCGATAGTTCATATCCTCGACGGAGTGCACCACAATGTTCATGAATTGCATGCACGCGACCATAAAGTCAATGTTGAAGGCCTCAAAGTTCATGAAATATTCCATGAGTGTCTGGAAACGGCGCTGCTCCTGGCACACATCCTTGAAATTATCAAAGGAGCCCAATATGATCTCGTGCCCACCCTTGACCAGACAAATCGCCGCCAGCAGCTCCAGCACCAGGGCCTTGGTACGCAGCGACTTGTGTATCAGACTGAGAGCGATGCAGTTAATCGCCTCGCGATGCTGTATGACCATATTGAAGCCATATTTATTATTCATAATCGCACGCAGGCACATTATGGACACGTGTATATCGTCCGTGGCAGCGCCCATGTTCAGTTTGGCAATGTGACGCGACCGACGCTTCAGGCTGGGACTGTCGAGCACCTCGCCAATGGTGGGTCGCACAAAGCTATAGGAATGCGAATGATGGGAGCCCGTCTGCTGTCGGGAGCCGTCCAGCAGCAGGGAGCCATTGGTCAGATTGGTATTGCCGCTAACACCGCCGGGACTCATCGAGCTGTTGCTCAACACCACCTCGCCGGCATCCAGGCCGTTTATCAGATTCAAACGCTCCTCGGATGCGCACAGGGCGCCCTGCAAACGCTGCTCGTGTCGCATCATCTGCAGCCGAAAGCTGAGATAATCAACGAGAGCATCTAAGCCCTGATTCGTATCGTCAAGGAACTCCTTGACCCATTCGATATGATTGGTGCGCAGCGAGATCTCTAGATCCCGCAGCACCTGTGTGGACGTCGATTCGCCGACCATCTTACGTTTCTGACAAAGAAAGTAGAAGAGGTAAAGCTGTAAGTGTACAAAGAGAGAGAGAGAGAGAGAAGAGAGAAGCGGGAGAGGAAGTTCGTGTTGGTATGGGAAACAGGACAATGAGCGCAGGACAAAACAATTAATGGATTGGATGATTCGATTGTTTTTGGTGCAGGAGAAGTGTAAGGGTTTATGTGCATGAGAAAAGGGGAAGGTTGGTGGTGTGCGTGTGCGTATGAGTGTGCGAGTGTGTGTTTGTGTCAGTGTTGTGAGTAGAGAAATTGAAATTTACACATTAATATTGGAACAAACATATAGATCTTTCTTTTAATATAATTTGGAGGGGTTCTTTTTTGGTTGTTGTTGTTATTGTTCGAATAGTTGGTTAATGAGTCGCTTCTCTGCAACAACAAGAGTCAGACAAACGCACCACACACAGTAAACTACAGTGAGCTACAAAAGTATCTATATATACGAGGAGTAACTACAGCCACAGCAGGAAGAGCTGGCGCCTTTTAGAGACAAGTTAGAGAGACACAGTCATTACGAAAGCTATACGCACCACCAACTTTCAACATTTAAGCCAGCTTGGCTTCAATTGCCAACTTACCCGATGACTACGCGAAGCCTTTGGATCCAAATATGTTCGCAATTTGCTTAAGTAATGGGAGGGTGGATCCTTCGCCTGCACCATTTCCTGCAAAGAGACAAAAGTAATGATGTCAGAAAATTAAAACAAGTTTTTGGCTAAATAGAAACAAGTGCCAAGGCCGCAAACGGGTTTAAAACTTTACAGGTTCAAAGCGAAAATTTTTAATCCTTAAAGGAGTTGGTTTCCAACTCAAAAAAAACCCACCGGAGCATATTCTTATTATATAATATATTTCTTAAAATAATGTTATTTTTGTTAAGATATATATTTTGTACAATTATGCACAATAACCGCAGTCATGTTCCGGCCAAGCGTTTGCTTTCCCAATTAAAGCCCATCAATTAAACACGGCAATTGCCGCAATCCAAAAGTTTATAAATTGTTGACTAACCAAAAATGCGCTTGGACTGAGGCCAAAAGAAAATGCCTCCACACATGCATTAACACTAACTTAGCGGCTTTTACTTTTGTTTTGCTTTGGGTGTTGTGTTGTGCTGTGTTGTTTTTGCCTCTGCCTCTGCCAACTGCATATTTGTATACCATGTTTACGATAGAGCCCTGGCGAGCTCTCGCGCTCTCCCTGCTGGATCGCACTGCGATCATATAAGCATCGATAGCTTGCCTAAGTTAAAGCATGAAGCGTGGTATACTTGTTTTTGGCTTTTTACTATGCCAACAACAAAACACCGACAACAACAACAACAAGAAAAGCAACGCATGACTACAACTGAAACTATGTGTGGGTTTTGGTGCTTTGCCTGCCTGCCTGCCTGCCTGTGCAACTCGACGAGGAGAGAGAAACAAAACCAGTTTCATTCTTTTCCTAGTCAAGACTGGAGACGAAATAAATACATGCACATAGCTACTATACATATATTTGACCAGGTATGGGTATGGGGCGTCCAAGCGGCTCCAGCAGCGATTAAAAACTGCAATTTATCGCAGTCATAATAATTTGCATTTTGTCACTGTGAGCCCCGCCAGTGTGCGGTGGTGTTCCAAGCGGATTGGATTGCCAATGGGCTGTTGTGGTCGTGGTCGTGGTGGTGGTGGTGGTGGTGGTGGTGGTGGGATTGGCTGTAGCCAAAGTCCTCGCCGACTCTAGTCCATTGTTTGTGGGCTGCGTTTTCATTCAAGAAGTGCCTGAATTATGGAAAACAGGTCTGCTGGCATGCAGGCGGTTTTAGGAAACAACCAACAAAAGACAAGACAGCGACGAGATCTTGAGTTGTATATACATACAGCTACATATACCCTGTATGCAATGAGCAGCAGAGGGTAGTCCGGGATTTGTAGTGAAGAGGACATGGCGATGTACATATATAGTCACATTAAAGTCAATCATGTTCGTCTCTATGAATCTAATCCCATTATATAATCCCAGCTTTAAGTCGCTCGTTTATAACTGAATGAACTATATAATACAGATTGGTCATCGAGTAACCCGTATAGAGCACAATTTCCAGCGTAACTCCTAGTCAGTCCTGGGCATAGTTATGTGATCTCAGCGTCTTTTTGGCTGTGCTACTCCAACGCCAATGGCGAATATTTTCTAGGCGCAGCTCTTGAAAATTCAGTGACCCAGTTTAATGCTCTGGCCAGAGCCTCTATAGAACCGAGCCAAAATAAAGGCGAACAGAACCCAGGCACGCTCCGCTGCACAAGTTAATAGTTTCGTCAAAGCCCAAACGGAGCACGCAAATGTGGATTTGTGTAGACATGGATCTATAACACATGTAGGCTTGTGTATGTGCCCCCACACTGCCGCCCATCTGTTCTGTCTGGCTTAATATAATACCGAAATGTTAAATGGTTTATTTTAATGCCCCAGCCGAGCATTGTTCAACGCCATTTGAATTCAACAAACGCCGAAATCGTTTTGAAATTGGATTCATTTTGCACTTTAACAGGCATCAAACGCGACAAGCGACATCAAAAAACGAAGCGACGAGCACGCACTGAATAATGATATAGATATATATATATATTTAAACACACATAATGACGTATATATAAACAGATATATATCAGCCCGAACACATGCCCAATATGAATTTCGGACGAGTTAAGCTGAGTTCAGCGCTTTACGAATTTGAAGATGAATTGCACTCAGTTCTGAATGTCAAGTGCAGAGGATCAAAGTACACGGTTCAGATGTCAGCTAAAGAGGGCATTATAATTGATGTTAACAACGAGTTAATGTACTTTTTTTTTAGGAACAGGTTCACAAGTACTCAAAATTCAACATCATTCAAGTTGAGTTGAGTGAAGTAGATATATATCTACCCTTGCAATATGATCACAAACTGCTGAATAAGGAAAACTCAGAAGTAGCAAATGACTTAAAAAGTTTCTTGTTCAGGATTTTAATTTACAGTCTATTTTTTTGGATGAACTAGAACTAGAAATAACTCTCTCTAACTGTCTCTAAGTCTCTCTCAAGAAAATAAATTTGTTTTGGGTAGAAATCAAATGTAGCCCACATTTTCCATATGAAAATATAAGAGACTTGCAATATTTTCAGTAGAACGGGCAATTTTAAATTGCAAATTGAAATGTTTCAAGTATTTAAAAGCAAGGTTTCAAACAAATCCTGGATTTAACAAAGACAGAGAGCTAGTTCGGACCGTGAACCGAACCGGGGAGCATTTTTTTTGTTTTGGGATGGCAGCCCTGGTTTATTTGGATTCATGTTCATGTTTCTCATACGCACAATATATACATAGTATATAGTATATAGTAAATAGTATTAGTATATGCTTTGGCATTTATCTAACGCACATGTGAGCAACAATTGGGCCGCATGACACTTGGCATAGTTAATTAGAGCGGCGACAATGTCGAGAGAAACTCAAAGGTCGCAGTTCAAGACTTAGAAACTGTTTTAGGCGTTGGCCTTCCGCTGAATGTTTTATGTTAAATGAACAGGGGGAGAGGGGGAGGGAGAGGGAGAGAGAGACGGGCAGCAGGTCCCATAATGCGGTTGTCCACATTTAATCTGCAAAAATTTCGCGTTTGCCATAAACAGGAAGTGCCTGATGATAAACACGCAGACATGTGTCCGGCCCCCTGTCCGGCAGGGGAAGGGACGGGCGGGGACGAATCGGTTTAGGCAGTTTTTAGATATGGCGACGCACATAAATCGGAAATTATGGAGTCTACTTACTTGATCGCATATCATGTCCCACTTCTTCTCGTCATCGTAGTTACGCAAGAGCTTTGCTTTGTCCGGCGGCAGATCCATGGAAGCCTGTAAAAAACGAAATAAATGTAAACAATTAAAATATATGTTTAAACATTGCAAATCTTCAAGAACAATGCGAATCATTTGCTTTAATGAACTGACGAAACTCGAGTGAGTGAAAAACCTAAATTAACCGAATCAAACGTTTCGCCAGGTGTAGCTACAGTCATCGTATGCAAAGCACAAAATACTTAAATTAGTCCAAGTTTAATTTCCCATTAGAAAAGTAACTTCTAAACACTTCTAAAGACGGAATTTTTCATTTACTTCAGTCATATAGCCTATAAAAAAGGAACATGTCACGCGTAAAAGTAAAGATTGCAATTATCAGTTGCTGATCAATTTTGCACTGAGAAAAGATAGATAATAGCTCACAGGGTGGGTTTCCTTCAAAAAGACCTTAAAGATACCCAATGCTGTAGAAGATAAAGGAATATATGTTCTATACGAAATAGACCTTTATCTGTGACACTTACAAATGTTATCTTCTGTTATCTTCCCGAAAAGGAACTAGCATAAGATAAAAGTAAAAGGATTCACTTTACAAGCATTATAACATTTCAAAGATACTTTTGTATCTATCAGCTGGAAGAAGTTTTAGATATAGACTAGATTTCACAGCTGTGCTAATGCTCACAAGGCTTGTTTCCTTATTGACCAAAGGTAAACCCAGACAATTCGTGGCTAGAGAGCATACAATTTACACCTGACCCTGCTGCACCTGTGTACAGCAACAACAAAAGACCAAAATTTGCTATAAGGTGAGGGCATTTGCATTTTAGACGCATCTGATGATTTTATGAGCCCACGACTCGCTCAACCAAAAACATCAATCATCAGCCCAACAAATGCCAGTCAAGTGTGATGCCATTGTACATTAAATGTACATTGTATATTTAACATTTTACGGAGAATATATCCCGACCATAATGAAATCAACAAACAGACGTTAACGTGACTTCAATTTGGGTGCAGCTGCAGCCAAGTTCTAATTGGATTGCCAACACACGAGGCACGCAGGAAAAGGTGCGGATGGCAAGAGGAAGAGGTCGTTCATTTGGACAGGACGTTGATAAGAATGAAAAATAAACATGAGCATATAAAACAAATTGGAAAATTCAATTCGTTGCGAGTCAAATTAAATAAATAGTTGTTGCACGGAAATATCGTATAAAATATATAGAATATGCTGCTCAACAATCCTGCTTAATTATAAACTATTCCTCTTTTTGTTGAAGAAATCCTTTGTTAATATATCTTTCAACCAAGAAATTAACGGCTTGTTTATTTTTAAATGTGCCTATATGTGTGCCAATTGAAATTGAAATCTTTTGGAATTACTCAGTATTAAATCTGCTCACATATACGATTTGCGTATGAAAATCCGTATAATGAATCACGCCATGCGGTCTAGTATATAGAAAATAAGTCTATCAAAAAGAGAATTAATAGGAAATTGACAAACGCAAAGGTGATCGAGCTCAAAGTACCCTGTAACTTTCGGAAATCACAATTTTAATAAAATTAATAATATATATATAATATATATATATATATATCTGATTGTGTTCAATTACAAAAGGCAAATGAAGCGTGGTTTGTTTTAGTTACTCTTCTTAAATTTAATAAGTATTGAATATAAAATTGCGACATGCGGCTTATCAACAAAAAGATGCGAAAATCTTTCGATTATTTATGCATTCGAATTATTATTCCCTTTTTACAGTTGCGGTCATATAGTTATAGTATAGTCATATAGTTATAGCAGTTCCAGCGTAATCCCGATGACTTCTAAATGGAATATAAAATTCGAGGCGCTTACTCATCTGTCAAGAGCGTAGATCAGGCTTTTCAAAGGGGCTCCCATGGGGGGCTACCCATTATTTATGCACACCCGAACACACACATACACACCCACACACACGCACATACATAGGCGCGCACACACTCATTGAACAAAATTTTAAAATGCGTATCCGGTACAACGGTCGGGCAGTTGGATTATTATGTGTTGTCGACTAATTTATATAGAAAAAAAGCCGCTATTTATTTTTGCCTGCTCTGGCATAAATATTAAGCGGCCATGCACAATGCGGAGCGAGAGAAAGAGAGAGAGAGGCTTTTGTCATTTATTATTCCAAAGTATACACAATCGTATATTTATATTGTTTGTTGTTTAAAAAGCGCGTCGAGGCAAATCACTCAGCGTCAAGAGGCAGAGCCTCACGGGCAGGGAGGGGGCAATGGGGGGGGGGGGGGGGGGAGTCAAGGAAAAGGTGACTGGGCGGTGCGACATTGGAGGGCGATCTCCGCAAGGGCAGTCCCCACACTCAATAGGAAAAAAAAGGCGCACTCCCCAACACATGATGTTAATAATAATAAAAATAATTAATCAATAAAACGTTGCAATCATTTTTAATTCCATTTTCCATTTACTCAATTTTTGCATGTGAAATGTTTATGAACAAATGTTACATTCAGCACGTTTCGTAAGGCAAACAAATAATAAATAAACAACTCGGAAAGAAAATTGCATGACAAAGAAATAATTGTTTTGGCTTAATTAACAGACAACTAAAACTGGGAAGAGCGTGTAAATTCATAATAATTGACTGTGAAAAACAAGATCATACGAAAATGTATTTAATTAGCATCAGGTAACAGCTGGGAGCAAAATTTAACTGAACAAAATTAAAAAACAATGTAATGCGAATTAAATACAGAAAAAATATTACGCTGTGTGCACTTAAAACAAATTAATGCCTTCCGTTGCGATTCTCATAAGCTCAGGAAGATTAAAAAAAGCGAGAGAGAGACAGACAATTTCTATACGATTAAGCGACAGAGCCTTTCTTTGCGATCTCGTGAGGGAGATGCACTAATCGAGAGAGCGAAAGAGAGAGATAGACAGATACTCTCTAAACGACGGATTAAAAGATACATTAAAAACGAGAAAGAAGTGCTATCTTCGGCACACCGAAGATTTAATACCCTTGCAGACCCAACCTTTTCAAAATGCTTACAGTGCTTTGCCCGATTCTAAGAAGCACAGGGAAAATAGTTAATGCCGAGTATGGTTAAGATACCATGAAAAACAAAACAGGTTTCCGTACAACAACTTAATTTTCGACCGATCGTTCCTATGGCAGCTATATGATATAGTAGCCCGATGTGAATAAGATTTTGCATAAGTGGAGGGAGCATAGTAAAACTAATAAATGCCGAGTTTGGTCAAGATATCTTGAAAAACAAAAAAAAATTCCATACAACAGCATAATTTTCGACCGATCGTTCCTATGGCAGCTATATGATATAGTTGTCCGATCTTAATAGGATTTTGCATATATATGGGGAGCGTAGTAAAACTAATAAATACCGAGTTTGGTCAAGATATATTGAAAACATACAAATTTTCCATACAAAAAACTTAATTTTCGACCGATTGTTCCTATGGCAGCTATATGATATAGTTGCCCGATCTGAATAGAATTTTGCATATATATGGGGAGCTTAGTAAAACTAATAAGTTCCGAGTTTGGTCAAGATATCTTGAAAAACATAAAAATTTTCCATACAAAAACTTAATTTTCGACCGATCGTTCCTATGGCAGCTATATGATATAGTTGTCCGATCTTAATAGGATTTTGCATATATATGGGGAACGTAGTAAAACTAATAAATACCAAGTTTAGTAAAGATAACTTTATAAACAAAAATGTTTTTCATACAAGAACCTACTTTTCGACCGATCGTTCCTATGGCAGCTATATGATATAGTGGTCCGATCCAGCTGGTTTTGACATATGAGCTGCGTGCAACAGAAAGAGGGACTTCTGCAAAGTTTCATAAAGATAGCTTTAAAACTGAGAGACTAGTTCGCATAGAAACAGACAGACGGACAGACGGACAGACGGACATGGCTATATCAACTCGGCTGTTGATACTGATCAAGAATATATATACTTTATGGGGTCGGAGATGTCTCCTTCTATGCGTTACACATTTCACGACAAAATTATAATACCCTCTGCAAGGGTATAAAAAAAGATAGAGAGAGATAGGGGTAGGGACGGATGAAAAGACATTGAGAAAAGTGCGATATAGATTGTGGGAGACAAGAAAGGAAGAGCAGAGTGGAACACAAAAATGAAGGTGAATAATTAATGACAATGACAGCATAAAAGGAAGGGACAAAAGGAACAAACGATAGTTAAAGAGTGTCAAAGGAAGGAAAAGATGTGTCTATGCAACAATCTTGACGATCTTTAACACACTTGGCACATGATCTGCATATGATATAAGAAAATGTGTATACAAAAAGTTGTGTATTTAGACGATTAGATCAACTCAGGTCGGAAATTCGCCATTTGCCGGTTTCGCACATTTGTGCCTCTATTTTAGCATTAATAAAAAGCAAGAATATTTTCCAATCCCAAGTCCGAGCATACATAATTATAACTATAATCGCCCAACTGCAGATGCAGAACAAAGTGCAATGTAATTTATGTGCTCTACACGGCTTGTTTATTGGTCTTACATCAGTTCACATCGAGTCTATGCTCGTTTACTGTTTTTGTGCGCATCAGAACAAATGCATCTGGTTTCTTTTTTTTTTTGCCCCACTATTTGCAGACCGCAAGAAGCTAATGCCCCCAAAAGGGACCGCCAAGGAAGTTGAAGCGTAGCGATAAGGAAATGCCAACCATCTATGTAGTATACATACATAATATACATACAAAATAGATAAACACAAACACAAAGACTGGATGTGTATGGTGGCAATCGGTTGGTCTCTTTTATTTTCGCAGTCATTAGATAAAGCCCAGCAAATGGGCAAATGGGCAAAAGCTGACAAAGTCATCAAAGTGCTGAATGACTTATAAACAATGAGTATTAATTCAACAAAAACAACAGCTGCGGCTTTGCCAGACCTGTGGTCGGTCTGTCAGCCGCTGGAAATGCCATTAGGGGGAGCCACTCAGACCAGACACTAATAGCCGGGACATATATATTCTAGATAAAGATGAATTGCGCTTGCTACTGAAACCCTTTGCACGACGATGATGATGATGTTGTTGATAATGATGATAGTTATGATAATGGTGGTTATGATTAAATGAGTGAAAGTCATTTGTGTGTCGAGAAAGTTTGTAAATTAATGAGGATTTTATGTGGTTAGTCTGACAACACCCACAGCCGAGACATAAGCACAGCCATCGCCATCAGCATCCCAGACAGTCGGGGCGATTGGGTTAAGCCTATTAAGTTTTATGGATATTAAAATGCTATTAAAAAATTAACCAACTATTAATTATGATTGACTCAACATAAACCAAAGAAAGCAGTGCTTGGATTTAGCTGCAAGCCGGGCTTGAACCAAATCAGTTCGAAAATGAAATTTAAATTTACTTTTTACTTAAAACCGAATCCTAAATCAAAGCAGTTGCCCATAAAACAGCCTAACTGAAAGTTGAACCAGGTCATTTTTGAAAGAATGGTGCAAAATATAAACAATTTTTAGAGAGACCCAAATCCAAAGTATGAAAAACTTTGGTCCCTATTTTTGCATCGGATAATTTAAAGTTCAAAACAAATTTAGCCCGCATCTTGTATATGAAAAAATGCAGGGATAGACATAATTTCAAAAACAGCGGGCAATTTTAACTGTATAATTGAATTGTTTAAATAAAGTTTTTTTAATTACTGAGAAACCAAGGCTTGAACTAAAAGTTGGGTTTAAGGATGTGGAAAACTAGCTTCGCAAAGCTAACCCCAATTCAGGATGTTTGTTCGCAACGAAGACTTTAATAGATATATATTTAAAAGTAAGTCAGTTTCAGAATCTTAAACATAGTTACATGGGTCGCTCGGAGAACAAAATATCCATGCAAAATATTTCTTATATTCATTTAATTTGATTGCTTTGCAATTAGCTAGCCGAATTAGTACAATGGAATTAATATCTTGAAATACAGAAACTCATCCAACTCTTGAAAGTGCTATATACAGATTTATAGAGGGAAGATGTTTTCATATCAACTGAGATCTACGGCAAAATGTAAATGTCATATATTCAAGCCAAAGAGCGTCTGTTGCTCTGTGGATATTGTCTCTGCAGACATTTGTTTGCTCAGCTTGATCCTCAATCAATTTGCTGAATGCATCCGCAGAAAATGCAAAGTTCAATCAACCCACGCAGCTAACCGGAAACATCTGCGTCGACTGCACCCGATTAGACATAAAACGCAAATTATTAGCGGCAATGTTGGCAAAAACTATTTATAACCATGAATCAGGCAAACAATTGCCTTCAATTGTGGCACGGACTGTGCAAGGGCAAAGGCAGCCAGAGAGAGAAAGAAACAGAGGAGGGAGAAACACACAGAGAGAGGGAGAGCGAGAGACACTTAGTAGCTCCCAAACAAAAGTAAACACAAATTAGCCTAAACCTTTTGGAATGGCGAGTCGAGGCCAAGTCGAACGAACGCTACCGAAATGACAAAACAAATTTTGGAGAAACACAAAATAAAAAAACTAAATGTAAACAAAGCAGTTAAACACTTCCAGTGCCAAAATGAGGGGCGAGGGGTTAACCAGAATAATCAACAAGTGCTATCTATGGCGAATTGAACGTTTGAATACCCTTGAATAGAGATACGTTAATAAGATCAAAGGCAATATTTTCAATGTTTAGCTAATTGAAGCTCATGCGAAACGAATCCAGAAAATACACAATACATATAGATCGTACAATGATTTTATAGCTGTGATAGTTATTGTTAGATAAGAAGATTTTGTTTAAAGATTTCAAATCGAAATTTTGACATTGTAACAAAAATTGTACATTTGATTTCTGCAATATTTCAGAAAATATTTATTAAAACACAAATTAAGAAATTTCTTATTCGTGCGCACATACGTGCGAATCGTTAAAGAAACAACATTTTTCCCACCCATAAAACGATGGCATAACATGCATTAATTATTTACCAAACATGCATAAATCACCTATATTTACATGTTGCATGCAACCTGAACGAAACAATGCTGCCCCCATATCGACTAAGCAAAAGGGGTAAAAAGTAAACGACAAAAGAACGCGTTGAGCGAGGTTTCATATTACATCGACTGGGAACGATGATAAGTGAGAATTTGAGCTGCGCATATAATAAATTCAGATTTCGTGTTTTTCGTCTACTTCTTCTGGTTTATTTTGAATACTTATTCTCAATTTGGGTGCGAATGGCAGATAAGCTAAGCCGCAACAGCAGCCCCAATGAGTCAGCAGTGGGAAAGAGAGCGGCGACAATCGATCAATTTGCGTTTAATTGCCATTTGCATGCGTCTGCGTTTGGATTTCAGCTCGGGATTGGGTCACACTCATTTGTTGTACTTTTTTTTTTTTGTGGCAACAAATTTTATATTATTTTTTTTATTTCTGCTTTTGGCAATATAAAAGCGCGCGCCCATTGTTTAATTAAGTTGACTTTGTTGCGCGGAGTGCTGTGGAGCAGCACTTCACATGCATGACAAACAGAACAGAACGCCGACGGAGTGAGAGAGAGAGAGAGCGAGAGAGAGGGATAGAGATGGAAAGACACATACATACATATACAGAACGCACACGAGACAATACACAGCTGAACTCTTGTGCGTGCCAAACGTACGGAAACTCACATTCCATTTTCTAAACATGCCTGAGAACATTTCTTTTAGCAATAAATCATGAAAAGGGAAACAATTACCGACTTTGTTCTTTAAAAAAAAACTATCAAGTATTGCCCGGCTTTGAAAGGGCAGATTATTTTTCATTTTATTTAAATATGCCACTTCGTGCGAAAATCGGTGAAACAGATGTTAATTTAATTTTAGTCCCAAGATTTACGCTTTTTTAAAACTCGTTTCATTTAAGGGTATAAGCGAATTATGTCAGCTGTGACTAATTCAGATTCCTAGCTCTTACGGTCAGTTATTTAGTCAATTAGGGCAAATAGTTATATTAAGATGAAATATTTTGTAAGTCTGTTGGCCACAAACGTCAAAACTGCGGCACAACTGGAGCTGCATTTTCTAATAAATTGTAATTGACTAAAACGTGGGCCTACATTATGAGTAAACATGCATCAATGGAGACGCCATAAGTTCGACTGGGGTCATCAAATCGTACAAACACACACATACAACAAATGATGAGCTCATCAATCACATGCATTTAGAGTAGGAGAGCGGAAGAGTGGGTTAAGGGTATATACGGATAAGGATAACGTATATTATCCGTTTAACGTTGCACTTACCAAGACTTTGGCGAATCGACGATCCAGCTCATCGGTGGTGGGCATCGGCTGTTGGCTGCGACTGCGCACGCTCGGCTGCCGGACATGATGGTACTGGGAGCTGGAGCCGATGTCGTAGCGCAGATCCTGCTTTTGGAGTGTGCCCATGCCGGGCGGCGCATTGTGATGGCCATTGCGGTGCATGGAGTGTGTGCTCTGGTGCTGATGCAATGGCGGATGCGGATGCTGCTGCTGCTGCTGCAGTTGCTCCTCTCTGTCCACATCGGCATTGGTGATGTTGCGTGATTTGACTGCGCCCATTATGGTTGCAAAGCGGCCGCTGCCCGCCGATGCTGCGCCAGTTGTTGCTGTTGTTATTGTGGTGCACCAGCCGCCAGCACCACCGCCACCGCCGCCGCCTCCGCCGCCTCCGCCTCCACCGCCTGCCCCACCGCCACCGTCGTTGCGGGCGTCGCCGGCCTCGATGCTCGCTACAGTTAGCGCTGTGCTAAGGGACGTTGATACCGCGCCCCATACAGTGCGACAGAGTGCGCGGGTGCGTTCGGGGCAACTTGAAAGTTGCTCTTTGATTCCGTTGAAGATATCCAAAGCGATGTTTCGGCTTGGCCTGCGCTCGCCCTGCAGCCAGTGGATTTTATTAAAGTCTATATATATATTTGTGTATATATATATGTATATTAACCGAAAATTTTAATTTTAATTTCTTTTTTTAAGTGTGTATATTTGTTTTGGGTTGTTGTTTTATTTTTTTGTTTTTGTATCGAACTAAAAGCGAAAAAGTTGCTGTGTTAAAACTTTATTTCTGCAATGCAAGCACTTTTAAATGCAATATTAATTATTTATATATATATATATTGTATGCTTGTATTTTTATGCACATACGCGCACACACACACAATTGCATATACACGCCCTAAAAGAATTTTGTTGGAAGCACAAATAATGACACCAAGTGAGTAATGTGTGCTTGTTGTTGTTGTTGTTGCTGCTGATGCGGCGGCTGCTGCTGCTTCTTCTTATATGCAACTGAACAAACACATACACACGCCAACACACAAAACACACACTCACACACAATAAACACGAGCGAGCAAGCACACAGACACAACACACACACACTAGAGCACAGACAAAGCGCAGATTTCAATAGAACGCTCCTGTAGGCGTTTGCTTTAAACCCTTGCTTTTTATTTGTGCTTTAGTCACTTGGAGGCAACATGAGTTAAAAGCGTTTCAAATTTAAGACTAAATGCCGCATTTCAATTACTTAGGTTTTGTACGCGAAATTCCACTGCAATTGTTTAAATGCACTTTACATGCGACGGCGCGTCTACAGCGACTTGCAACTTCGTTTGTCGAGTTTTCGAACGAGACTGACAGTGTGACCGACCTTCTGGCAGCATTGAAATACCAAATGGTGTGCTTTTAAAAAATATACTAGCCTGCACGCTTTGCACAAAAGTGTCTATGTACAAATTATTTGAAAACAATTTATGACTCGGTAAAAAAGCAAATTAAAAATGTTTGTGATTGAATAACAAATAGCTACACAGTTTTTTTATATTTTTTTTTGAAATTTATTTAAAAGAAATATACAAATACTGGTCATCCTCGCCGCAGTGGATATTTCGATTAATTAATCGATGAGCACCATCCCTGGCAGCAAATTTAGTGGAAATACGTATTGTTTACAAACATTTGCAATTACTTAAATAATGGGTACTCCCCGCAAAAGTTCCAACTACTTTTCACCCTACTCACAAAATGTGCGGCAATATCCATCGCAAACATCGGACTATATGTCGCAGCATGCTGGCGGCGTGCAATCCCCATACACACCGCAGGACCGAAGCGGACAGAGGTCTAATCAAAACACACCGCATTTCTACCAAAGCAGAACGCCGCAACACCAAAATAGTGGCTTTTACGAGGACAGACAGGGCTCCGACGCCAATACGGCGCACTTCTATCAGATCAAATCTCCGCACCAGCAACAAAGAGGATCTCGACCTTTTGGCCAACGCGGCGGCAGACGGGGACATCATCAACATCGACAATTTAATGAGTGGAACGTCAATTCGTTCTCTCAGTACTTTCACAATTCAATGTTGGAGGATCCATGGCGCGAATTAATGGAACGCCACGAGGCAATACACGGCAGCGCCCTAAATGAACAAGACCGAATAGACATTTAGATGCATAGCTTCAGTTCAACACTTTATATATACATTTACGAATCGTGTTTCTTTTATAAAACTCAATTTTTAAACACTTAATGCTACAGATTCTTTTTTCTTTGTCATTTTTGATGTTGACATTTCTCAAGATATTTCTCCCAATCAGCTGCAATTCGATTATAGATGCCCATTGCGGCGCGTGCATCCTCCACAGAGTTGTGCTCCCCGGTCTGTATCTCCTGGCCCAGCACGGCCAAAGTGAGGCGCTTAAGGCTTGGTGTGTGTCCATTTGAGACAAGCTTACAGAGCGGCTTATAGCGAGATGTATCACGAATTTGGGCCACGGGATGCTTTATGCTCAGGACGGCGAGATCATTGCGCAGACCGTGGCCAACAAGTACTTTGCCGTGCAGCAGCTTGACTACCTCATCTTGCACGTCTTTAAAATCCTCGGCGTTCTCGATGTCATGTGGGCGTATGCCCGAAACACTTGTGCGATAATCTGTCACTGGCTCGCGGGGCTTAACATGCTTGTCCAGCAGCACCTCGCCCACTTTGTTTACGATAGACACACGCGCCAGCATGTCGTCCTGGCCGTTGAAACCCACGCCCACCATCTCACAGTCCATGGCCAAGATGCGGTTGCGCTGTGCCTTGCGCTTAAGACGCGCACGCGCCGATTTGGTTAGTGCCGCGTTTGCGTCTCCATTGCCAGTTTGGGCTGTCTGTTTTTGATTTTCGGTGCCAGTGGCTGCTACGGCCTGCCAATTGGAACCGGCGGCACGTCTATTGATATTTGGCTGCTGTACTTGCAAACGCTCCATCGAGATCTGAAGCTTGCGCTGTCCGGGAGAACTCGAGTTTGTGTTCATAGTTTTCGTTTTCTCACTTACTGAGGCGTTGCTGCCGCGGTTCAGGTCGAACTGTTTCTGGCGCTGCGCTGAAGACATTGAGCTAACGGCAGATTTATTCCATTAGTTGCTCTAGATATGATGTTCGTTTAGCGATTGGTGTTTTTTGTCGTAATTTTAATATTATTTGGAATTGGGCTCTTTTTGTTTCCAGCTAAAATCACCAAAAAATGTGTTTTGTCAATCGACAGTGCTATCGATTGCAAGTAATTGGAAATCAGAGTTACCCTTACGAACTAATCGAATGATTTAGCTACAGAAATAACATGTTTAAATCAATAACCATTTTTTACCAAATAAGCCTCTGCTCACAATTACTTATTTTTTTAAACAATCTCAATTAAATTATTTAATTTTTGTTTTCAAATTTAAAACGGGTAACTTTAGCACCCAAAAAAAGGTTATCACTGTTAAATAACAGTGCCAGCAAATGTAAAATTGTTATCGCTGCTGTTAAGAAATAACGAAATCAGAAGTAAAAGAAGAACAAAAAGTAGACAAGTTCAACAAGGCCCAAACATTAAAAAAAAATCTAATAAGAGAATAACAACAATAACTGAAAGATCTTCTAAAGCTGACTGCTTTAAGTGGTTTGCAACCAGCTGCCGTAGTTTTTTGCACGCGAATCTTACATTTTAATTGAAAGAAAACGCTTGCAGCAAATAATGCATATACGCTATAACTATGCAACATTCTCATTAGCTGCAAACTCGTAATATGGCTGGTGAGGCTGCAGCTAGCGCCATGCAGTCCTTTCACACGCGCTGCGGTCGTTCCATAACGCTCGGAAATGGGAATCGGTCCGCACAGCGTTCGATGCGAAATTTTAGCCATGCGCTCGTGTTCAGCGCAGAGCCCCTTGTGGATGATGTGCTCTTCGAGGTGGTCATTGAGAAGAAGGTGATTTTCATTGTTATTATTATTATTATTATCAGCGCATCAATCAATATTCTTCATCTCAGAATCACTCCTGGGGCGGCAGCATTGAGATTGGCGTCACATCCGAGTCTCCCGAAGATTTGGAATTGGTCGCCTGCGCCACGGCCATGCGGAATGGTACCTGGGTAATGTCTGGTATTGATGTGCGCAAGGATGGCCGACGTTTGTTGGAGTATTATGGGACGGATCTCGAAACACTTAACGAAAATGATCGTGTTGGAGTAATGCGCACCTCCAGCCATGAGCTCGTTTTCTATGTCAATGGTGAATCTCAGGGTGTGGCCGCCAAGAACATGCCAAAGCCACTGTGGGCCCTTGTCGATCTCTACGGGCGCTGTGTGCAAGTGTCCCTATGTCCCACGGATGCGAGCACTTCCATGAACAGCAGCAGCGAGGTACTTTACCTGATTTAAGTTAACCAATGCATTTTTTATATAAAAAGCTTTGTTTAAACAGCTGTTGGACTCGCCTTTGCAGCAGCCACTGCAGCAAGTTATCCAGAATTTGGACGTGCCTATGAGCGTCGATGTCAGCGTGGTGGATAGCAGCAACATTGACGCCCTCACACGGCTTAATCTCAATGCCAATGCCAGCTGCAGCTCCAGCAGCGGCATCGGCGAATTCTACGATGTTAATGATCGCTTGCGTTTTCATACGCGTTGCGGCTCCTTGGTCAAATTGTTGCCCAATTTCCGCTCGGCAGAGCGTCGTCGACCGCTGGATGAGTTCAACAATGGCGTCGTCATGACACATCGTCCACTGCGCGACAACGAACTGTTCGAGATACGCATTGACAAACTGGTAGACAAATGGTCGGGCTCCATTGAGGTGGGCGTCACCACGCACAATCCGACGGTGCTGCACTTTCCAGCCACAATGACGAACATGCGCAGCGGCACCATCATGATGTCCGGCTGTGGCATATTAACCAATGGCAAGGGCACGCGCCGACAGTACGGCGAATTTAATCTTGACGAGCTGCGCGAGGGCGATCGTGTGGGCATGATGCGCAAGTCAAACAGCAACCTGCACTACTACATCAATGGCCAGGATCAGGGCGTGGCAGCGACACGCGTGGCCGCCACACTATGGGGCGTTATCGATCTGTATGGCATGACCATCAAAGTGACCATTGTCGACCGAGACGAGCGTGAGCAACAGAATTTAGTCACCAGAAGGAACAATATTGTCGCCGGCATGGCCATGGGCTGCAGTCACGGTCAGTCTGGCACGCCCACGCTGAGTCTTCTGAGCCCGGAGAGCGAAATGAACGTGGCCGGCGCAGCTGGCGGGCTAAGCGAAACTATATCCAGCACACGCGCCATAGCACGCAACGATGATCGCCTCACATTTCATCACATTTGCGGCAGTCATGCCACGGTCACGCAGAGTGGACGCACTGCGCTCCGGCCCAAGTAAGTTTTGTCTATTTGAATGAAAACTTATAACTAATTTACCTTTTAATTCCAGCGCTGCTGATGATTTTAATAACGGCGTAGTGCTAACACGTCGTCCATTGCGTCCCAATGAGCTGTTCCAGGTACGTCTCGAGCGTGTGGTCACCAAATGGGCCGGCTCTGTTGAAATGGGCGTAACCACACACACAGCCGATGAGTTGGACTTTCCATTTACCATGACAAACGTGCGGTTAGTAAAGAATTGCTTATTGCTTAAACTTCATATCAAATCTTACCTCTATCTCGCTTTTTGCAGTTCCGGCACCTGGATGATGACTGGCAATGGTGTCATGCAGAATGGCGTGACTGTGATCGAACAGTATGGCCAGAACCTGGATCGCCTCCAGGTGGGGGATCGTGTGGGCGTTGTGCGCAAGGATGATGGCACTCTGCACTTTTGGGTGAATGGTGTTGACCAGGGACCCGCTGCCACAAATGTGCCGGAGCGCGTCTACGGTGTGATTGATTTGTATGGCCAAGCAGCGCAGGCGAGCATCGTCGACACCTCGGAGTGCGGCAGCCCAGACACGGGCAACTCAACCATTTCCAACACAACGCTGTACAGCGAGGTGCCGCTGCGATTTCACAATATTCACGGTGCCAACGCGGGCATCTCCAATAGCGGCCTGACTGCCTCGCGCCCCAACTCGTTGGCGGAGTTCAATGACGCCATTGTGTTCAGCAATCGGCCGTTGCGTAATCGTGAACTGTTCGAAGTGGAGCTGGAAACGATGGTGCGCCACTGGTCGGGCAACATTGAGATAGGCGTGACAGGCACGCGACCGGAGGATATACAATTGGCGCCCAATGCGACCGATTTGGAGGCTAATGATACCATCATTCTGTGCGGTCCCATGATCTTTCACAATCGCAAAAGCATACGCACCAATGTGCTCATCGATCTGGACACTCTTGGCACGGGCACACGAGTCGGGGTCATGCGCAATGGCGACTTCATACACTTCTTTGTGGATGGCATGGACCAGGGTCCCGCTGGGGAGTGCCATGCGCCCAACATTTGGGCCATCATTGATCTCTACGGACAGTGCGCACAGGTCAGCCTGACGCAAACACAGCTGGACATACGTGCTCCGTATGCCACCAGCGAGAACTCGCAGAGCTGCCAGGCCACGTCCGTTATACAGCATCCGGCGTTGGAGACCAAACACCGCTGGACATTCATTTCGGGCAATGTCGTGCTTACCAAGGATTGGACAGAGGCCTCCCGATATACTGGCTCTACTGCTGCCCTGTCGCACAGCCTGGTCTTCTCCGAGCATCCCTTGAGTGTGGGCTCGCCTTTTGAAATAAAACTGACCTCTATTAATCCCATGTATGCCGGTAGGTCCCGCCCCTATTATATTAATCACAATATTAATCGATTCTTTCTGCAGGCTGCCTCAGCATTGGCATCACAGATCTCAACCTGGCCGATGAAACCGTGCGCAAGAAGCTGCCCACGAGTCTTAAGCGCATTCCCGCCAACGTTTGGTATGTGAGCGGCAATGAGGTGCGCTTCAATTCCAGCTGCCTGCAGCGTTCGCTGGCGTCCCTTGAGTGGCTGCGTGTGGACGATCGCATCACACTGGAACGCGTGGAGAACGCGGTGAACATACTGCTCAACTCGGAGAACGTGAATATTCAATTTCATAATGTGCCCAACAATGTGTATGTGGTTGCCGAGCTGCTCGGCTCGACCATGGCCGTTCAGGTGATCTCTACACAAATGCCCGCATCGCCGTTGCGGCCGTGCAGTCTACGGCTGCAGGATTCCATGGACTTTGGCATGGATCCTCTAAACAAGCAGGACAGCTCAATGCTGGAGTCCATCGATTCAGAGGCGCAGAACTATGAATTTGTGGACATATCCAATAAGCATGTGCGTCTCTCCGACGATCGACGCAGCGCCTCCAGAAGCAAATCCTTCAACCAGGCCATTGTCTATCTCAACAAACCGTTGTGCAAGGGCGAAAGCATTAGCATCAAAGTGGACGCGATAAACAATAAATGGAAGGGCACTCTCAGCCTGGGTGTGATGGCCACGTGTCCTCAGGCGCTGGCGGTGCCCATATCGCTGCTCAACTGCAAGCGCAGCTGCTGGCTGGCCACACACGACTACATCAACATCAATGGCCAGGTAATGGCCTCCAAATACGGCGAAGCTCTTGAGCAAATACAGGTGGGCACCGTGATTACCCTGTCGCTCACACACGCCGGCATGCTGAGTAAGTACAGAAAAGTGGGTGGCAATCACTGGAATTTATAATATGCTCATCTCCTTACAGTCATCATGGTTGGCTCCACGAATCTAGAGGATCTGGCCAGCGGTTTGCCCGGTCATGTGTATCCGATCTTCGATATATACGGAAAGTGCGAGAAAATCACATTGCTAACGGGAAATGATGCCACACGCACTGGCAATGCCAACGGCACGCCAATCTTGGAGGCACCTGAAGCACTGGAGCTGGACAATATGCCGCAACAGTGCGAGAAGGCGCATTTGGAAATGCACGAAAAGGAGAAGGACACGGAGCAATTGAGCGATAGCGCCAGAGAGCTGCCCACGGGTGCCTCAACCTCAGCTGCCGCCAATGTCATGTAAGTGCATGGTAATTTTTTACTTTTGAATATCTTTCTATATAATTTCCTACCTTGCTCCAAACAGGACTCGTTCGGTTATGGAGAGCGTCTCGGAGAATCTCCTGCTAAACATCTCTATTAAAAATCGCACTCTTGAACAGCAGCGAAATGAACTGGGCGGCTCATCGTCCACGTGGTAAGGGTAGCTTGGAAAACTTCATAAGTCTTTCAAGTTCCTAATTATGTTTGTTTGTAGTTGCTTGCGCGAGTCCTTGCAGCTGCAGCACAACACGAATCTAAATATTCAGCGAAGTCAGAGTACTCAACGATTTCAGAACTCGCTGAATACCTCAACAGGTGGTGGTGGTGCCAGCACTTCTAATGCAGCGTGTCAGGCGCATGCATCAAGCGCCGTTTACGATACGAACAAGGAGTATGATGAGCAGTTGTTATGCTCCAATGTGGTTGCTCCAGCTATGGTCGCCTCGCACGAATCGGAGCACAGTGAGAACAACGCAGAGGCAGTTGTGGAGGCAGTCAATGAACGGGAACTGTCCAGCGAGCCTGACAATGCGCTGGAGGATGATGAGATTGATTATATGAATCATTTGTTGCTGCTACAGCAGCTTCAACAAAATGAATACACACGCATGCAGCATCATTTGTTGCCGGACCAAATGTCGCTGCTCAATCTGGATCTCTCTTCGCTAAACTCCTTGGAATCGGAAGCTAATTCCATGGGCAATGGCCGGGAATCGTTGCGTACAGCAGCAGCGGGGCTGGAGCAAAACGATTGCGAGTATTTGAAACAGGTGAAACGTTTCTGTGCCTCCCTGGTGCTGCCCCAGGCCTTTTTCGACATACGCCTCGAGCCGATCTGTTTCTGCTCCATGTGCAGTTGGAGCGTCAACGGCCTCGGCGACAAGTTGGAAGGCTGGGTCTACTTCAAGCTAAATCAGCAAACGGTAAATGCGCTTAGCACATCAACATCGTCCGCTGCCGGCTCATCGGCGGCTCAGGTGCATTTGGATCTGAATGGTGATTGGCTGCCCTTCTACTACATGACACGCGTGGATAAAATACGCGCTATCTTAGATCGTGGACAGCCGCTGCCGCTTGAAATGGACGAGGACACGGTAGCTACCACGCACAAGGATGAGCCTGGCACCCGTTTAGAGCTCTACTACTCGCCCAATGCAACAGTTATTGAACCGGTGCTACCGCAGCATCATTATGTTTCGGATCAGGGCGTGCATCGCATTTCCACCTCTTTCGAGGTGTATGTGCGTCGTCAATCGATCTCTGGCGTCACCACGGGCAAAGCAGCCACCGAGGCGAAGCGGCGCAGCATGCATACGACCGATAATGAGGCAACCAATGATGGCGGATCGTCGGGTGGCGCTGCTGGCGGCAACGGCTGCAACAGCTCTGGCACTTTGAACGAGTCCTCTGTGCATCTGCTCAACGATTTGTGCTGGTTTACCAAAGAGGCAGGCGCCTGCATTATTAATGCATTAATTATTAAATTAGACCGCATCGAGGAGCCTGCAAGCGAAACCTAATTAGATTATCTACGCATAGATAATATTTATACACTAGTCACCAGCTCGCAGCCTAATTAACTATTTATATCGTATAAAGTATATGATAATAATACTCGCTAGTTTTCCACGCATACGCATTCCCCCTTTATAAACATGTTTTGTATTGTAAGTGCATATGAATCTCCAAATATAATTACAATGTTACTCCTAACCCGAACTGTTGAATGTGTTTTCCGCAACATCTCAAATATTATGAAGTATTTATTTTGTTTGAAGAGTCGTATTTGTTTTGATTTGCGCAATTTGTCCTACTTTGTTTCTGATACTATCCATTTTCAGACTTATGTTTGCAACCAGATCATTATCTAATTTAATTTGCTCTTCGTATTGGTTTTCCTTTTCTTTAAAAAGCTCCAGATTAGCTTGAAGCTCGGCTACCTTTGCTTCGAGTACCTTTATTTGATCGTCTTTGTCTCTGATTGCAATCGCGTTTTCTTCAATATCCTTTGTGGCTTTATCTCCACTCTGTACTAAGGACCTTAGAAGAGTATAACAATAAGATCCGCATTGTTGATCCAAATTGGTTGATATTTCGTTTAACTGCATTATAAAAGTTTTTCTTATGCAATTGACTTGACACTCGATTTTAGAGCACTCACCGAACCATTCGTGGTTGCTGCACCTGCCACAAATGCCTGCACGGCAAGCAGACAAATTATTAAAACTTTCATGTTTGTTAGATTTGGATGTCTGAATAGTTGAAGTTTTCCTCTGCCACAAATATTTTCTTGATACTTGGTTGCGATGAGTTTCGCAGACAAAACAGTACTGAATATTTCTGTATTTCGAAATTTTATAACTACGTGTTTTCAGCGAGATGCGCTATATGTATACATATATATATGTATGTGCCAAGAAATATACTACAATATCATTAATTTTAATGGGCTTTTCAATTCATTTCAATTCCCCGGAATTTGTTTACTTATTCATATATTAGAAAAGAAAACGAGGTGCGCTGTGTATTTACTCGTTTTTGTTTTTAACTCAATATGTAGGGAGGCAAAGGTATTATAAATTTGCGCAATTGTATAAAACTGATTACCGAGTACAGAGAAAATCGAAATAAAATATATTTCTATGACAAGGGAACAAAAAAAAAGAAGCATAAAGTGCTTTTTGGAATCATCATTAAGGTTTTATTTGATTATTTGAATTCCATTCATTTAGTGTCGCTTTTTGTTATTATTCAACTATGCAAAAATGGTCGATTAGAAAATGTTTTTTATTAATTTGTTGCATCCATCCATCCATCCATACAGCTCTGTCTGTCACTTCCACTGCCATCGTCTGCTGCACTTAATCCAATCGTTTGTTTTATACGCTTACACATTTAGTATTTGTTTACAGTTTTTGCCAGTTTGCTGATTCTGATGCGTCGGAAAAGCAAAAGTGCATATACAATTGTTGTTTCATGTTTGTATACGTTAAGTTAAATTTGTTGTTGTTTTTATCGTTAGCCAATACCATATATATATTTGTTGTTTTATTAAATATATCAATTACCGTCGAAGATGCCGCAGCAGACAGCTCACTCCACGTCCATGGCAGCATCGGTGGGTCCATTGCCACCCGCGGCTTGCCCATTGTTGTCCACATCCATTTTGTCACCGGCGGCACTCGGCTCGCCGCCATTCTGCTCCGCAGCATCTTTGGGCGGTGTCGTTGTCTTGGCAGCAGCCGGCTTCGGTTTCGCGCGCGTAATAACAGAGTTAACGCAGGCATTCAACGTTTGTATCTCGTGGCGCAGCGCCGGTAGCTGCACGGGACTGTCCGAGGTGCGCGGCGATTGGGTGAACTTGGACAGATTGCTGTCGAGCCACTTTTGCGCCTTGTCCGCAGTTTCGGCAATGTTGATAAACTCGGTTTCCGTTAAATGATCGTACTTGGGCACACCCTTTCGGAACTCGGCCACTGCCTGACGGGCCCAAGCAATGCTGTTCTTGAGCTCATCAAATCCAGCCGGGCACTGCTCGTAGTCGTGGGCGCGCAGCTTAATAGGATCGGTTTTTTGCTGCAGCGCCGTCAAGCGGTTGGTGTAAGTCTCACGCTCGCAATCCTCACCCTCCTCATACAGCCAGTTCTCGAGATCATTTAGCTGCGCTACAATCGACTCGCGTTCCGACTCAACCACATAACGCTCAAGTGGTCCACCCTTGATAATTACATTATTGTGTTATTGGTCTGTGTGGCTATTGTAAAAGTGGGTTTGGTAGTTACCTGTAGCTTGTTGCGCATATCGTAGACAAACTCCTCCAATGCGTTTTTGGCATCAATGCGCTCCGTTTCCTTCTGATCGTTAGAAATCATCTTAGTTTCCTGCTGTGTAAAATTGCTCAAATCGGCTGGATTGAAACCATGAGTGGCCACCTCCATTGGCAGCTCAATTGCCTTTGCGGTCTTCTTCTTTGTCTTGTCATTGCCCTGTAGCATAAATTAATAGAAACAAACATTAAAACAATTGCAACGATTGAATAGTTTTTCAATTCTTGTAACCAATAGAAAGAGGAAATAGCTCGAAGCGGAACAACAACAAAGCGAAGAGGAAAAACAGCTCAAGTAACAGCCTACAATATGAGCAAAAGATCGTGATTTGTGTCTTAATTATGTAAATAGAAGTTCGAGTAGCATTCATTGGATTAGAGGCGCATTATATAACGTGTTTTTTTTTTGTTGTTTATTATTTTTTGATGTTGCACAGTTTGTCAAAATAATAAAGCAAAAAATGTATATTTAAATAACAAATAAAAAGTATTCAAGCGTATTGGGCAATTTGTTTAAGCAATTTTATATTTTAGGTTTCTTTTTTTTTTTGTTTTTGTTTTTGTTTTGCAATAGGAGCACACAGGGTAGGCGGCTTATGAGCGGTCTTCATCATTCGTTTTACTATCGGTTGTTGGGTGGGAAAAGAAAGCGCAAAATTTTGTGCTTGAATTTTTCTCATACGACATTTCCAATTTCGTGACATTTTCTCATTTTTAATATTTATATTAGAAATTATAGTTGTATTAAGATTTTTATTTGCTTTAAATTTGAAAACGTACCGAACCAAACCAGCCCTTGACCCGTTGTGCCCACCCTTGTCCGCCAGGCGATGAGGCTGTTGATGTATTATTATCATCCTCATTCTCAAAATATGCCTAAGAGAGAGCAAAACGCGAGCGCACAATATCCAATATTTGGGTAATAGTAGTAATAATTGTATGTATATGTATTTTATATATATAACCGTACAAATGCAAATGTACAATATAATATAATTAAACAGCAAGAGCAACAACAACTACAGCACTAGATTGGGAATGAAACCAAGCTAATACTAAATGAAAAACAAAACCGATTCGACAGCTCTCTTTAATTTTTGGTAGCATTTGAAATACACACACAAATATAAAATAAACAAGAAACTCATATCTCTAAAATGCTAAGAAAAATATGATAAGGGCAAACATACATGCGATAAAAAACTACGAGCATACGCCCCTATAGTCGGACGCTGTTATCGTGAAATTGATGGCAATGAACAAATTCGTTTATAACTTGTGCAAAATTAGTCGTGATTTTAAAGTTGAAACAATTAAATTGTCTAGCACTTTGTAAGCTGAGGTTTCATTCCCTGCCTAGGCGAAATAACGAAAGCAAGTCGAACGCCAAATAAATATAGATAACGAGTTAATTAGAAGTGAGCAAATGATGAGAACCGATTGATTTGATGTAGAGTGGTGGTTAGCAGAAAAACTCTGGGAAGGGTTAGAAAACTGCGAAAAAGGAGAGCAGCGCCTATTCAACAACAGATGATGTCAATATTGATGAAACTGATGATGATACTAAAGATTCAACTAGTTGCTTTTTGGGTAGACTTACCTCCTGTTGGCCATCCGCTGATTCAGCAGCATTGGGTGCCGCTTGCTCGCCGGCTGTCTTCTCCTCGGGAGCGGCGGCCTGTTCTCCAGCGGCGGCAGCCTCTTCCTGCTCCTTGCGATCGACAAGCGTGGCCGATGAAATTAGAACAATGCCGTTTTGATTGATGCGAACTTTCAATTTAACATCCTGGCTCTCGCCACGGTCCGTTGGCTTCACATCCTTGATCTTCCAGACGCCAATGGTCTGGTCCGGATACGGCACCTGTTGACCGTACACAATGGACGCATTGAAAGGTCCCTTGCGTGCAATTGTCACCAGACGGCTGAACGGCGACGGATGGAATTGCGGAAAGATCTCAACTTCGCCATTCGATGATGAGCCATCGCCATCCCAGAGCACTTTCACGGCATAGTTTTGTATGTCGGTCACTCCGAATTCGCGCACACGCACAGCCGGTGACATAATGGCGCATTGTAGAGCTGCTCCACGCGATACAGCCTCATCCTGATTAAGTGTGGTGCTGGCCGGCTTGTTGAACACCTACACAAAAACAGATACACAAACATAAGAGACTTGCTAAAAAGTTGCGATTTGAATGACTCACCTGTTCAATGAGCTGCTTGATAGACGGTATGCGAGTGCTGCCGCCTACAATCTCTACAGAGTGTATTTCGTCCAGTGTCAGTTTAGACTCGACGAGCAGCTTCTTAAATGTTTGCTCGACACGCTGTAGCACTGGAGCGCATAGCTCTTCCATCTGAGCACGCTGCATGGAGGAGCTGACGTCGACATCGTCCAAGAAGCATTCAATGTTCAGCGGCAGTTTGGTGCTGTTGGCGGACATTTGCTTCTTTAGCTTCTCAATTTCGGTTAGCAGACGTAGGTTGGCGCGAGCATTTGTCTTGGCGTTGATCTTGTAGCGTTCGAGAAACTCCTTGGTAAAGAACTCAGCCAGCGCCAGATCAATGTCGCGTCCACCAATCTGATCCCAGCTGCTAGCCAACATCTTCAGCTTGCCCTTGGTGAACACACAGGCGCTGACCTGCAGCGCCGAGTGGCCAAAATCAACGAATATAACATTACGCGGCTTATCCTCAAACAGATCATTCTTATAAAAGCCATATGCAAGCGCCGTAGCTGTTGTCTCATTCATCAGGCGTAGCACATTCAGGCCAGCAATTTGTGCGGCATCGAGTAGAGCGCGGCGCTCGGCATTGGTAAAGAATACAGGGCAGGCAATGACGCAGTCATTCACCTGCGTTTGCATGGCCGCCGCCGAGGTTTCCTTTAATTTGGTGAACAGCATTGCCGTCAGTTGTTCGGGAGTGAAATGCTGATCCTCTTGCAAATAGTTGACTTTGAAGCCAATGCTGCCATCATTGCGCGCCTCCACGCGCGCTGGAATGCTCTTGAGTTCGTGTTGTACATGTGGATCGTTGAACTTGCGGCCAAGCAAACGCTTGAAGCCGCCAACTGTGTTTTTCATGTTTGTCACCTGCTGGTTCTTGGCGGCAACGCCAATGATGCGCTTCTTGCCATCAAAAGCCACAACGGAGCTGCAGAGAGACGTGGAAAGTAATGAGTAAGAAGAGAATCCATAGTTGGCAGTAAAATGTACATAAATCTTATCAATCCGTGAAGCTCTTTTCTTATCAGAAGACATAAGCACATATGTATGTACATTCAGGCATTACAGAGGTTTTATTGAGAGTGTTGGATCAGAAGATGCTTCGCAGTCTCCATACAAATTTATTGCTACAAGGTATACAAAAATATTAAAGCAACGCGTCAAATATGGTCCTGTTGCCACAACAAACTGAATCAAATGGGTATGCACACATACACACCTTTATATATATATATATGTATATATATATACACATACGTATATGTGCATGTACACATAGCCGTATATGTCTTGCATATGTATTTGCGATCGTGTTTTGCCGGCTTTGATTTTATTTTTGACAACTTTGGTGTGAACGCATTTGCTCTCGCACTCTATTTTCCCCTCTTTTTTTTTACCGCAACAGCTGCTGTTGCTTTGCGCTCTCTGCTTTGATGCTATTGACTGACCGCATGACGCATGCGATGATATGCGTGAGCCTGTGTGTGTGTGTGTGTGCACATTGGCCAAATTATAAAAAAAGCATATTGGCAAAAGTGGAAATTACTCCCACGTATTCTACATTTATAAATCAAGATTCTTAGTCAAAAATTGGGCCGAAGCCCCATTTTATATGGGACAACACGCAGTGCAACATCTCAAGGCGGCCTCTCATTAATTTGCAATGCTTTTTATGGAGAACTGCCAGAGCCAAATTTAGGCCTGAGCCCACAATTGCATACATACATATGTATTTATTTATGTGTGCAGTATGTACATTTTACATGCTATATATACATATTTATGGGTAGATTTGTAATTTTTTTTTCTTTATGAGCGTTACCAGTGACAACACTGGAAATTTCTAGGCGCGTATACAAGCATATATATACACACACACGCCTATATTCGCACGCACACCAAAAGCTATTGGGCATGACTTACATTTGTACATAACCTCAAAGAAAAAGAGCAAACGATTATGCAGTACGAATTTAGATTTAGCTAATTAATAGCCAATAGAAGCAATAATCATAATCATGTGCTAGTTTTTTGGTACTTACGGTGTAGCGCGCAGACTGTAGTCATTGGCAAGAGTCTCGATGCCGCCGGATCGGGCAGCCGCTACATAGCAGCCCTCGTTACCGAAATCGATGCCAATCACAGACATTTTTCTCTAGTTTCGACTGCCGATTCGTTTGATTAATTGAGTTAAACTAGTTATTTGGTTAGACTTTGTTGCCTAGATTTCTTCTGTTTGATTAAATGGGGCGGCTTTTGTTTTTTTCTTTTCTTTCAGCAACTGTAAAAGAAAACAGAAAATTAGTTCAAAATCACCAAACAAACACGCACGCACGCGTCAATTTTATTTCAATTGACATATGATTCCAGAATTCCCTTTGATTTAGGCTTTTTTCCATTAATTATGGATTTGCTAGTGGGCTGTCGATTTATAACAGAAAAATGGCTCATATAGACGCCCACGAGTTTTTCCGTTTCGTTTTAACGATTTTTCATTGACTTTATCTCTGATATTAATATTTACGCACATTTTTGCAGATTCTATATGTAGACGCTTTATGCTTATTTTAACAATGTATCAACGCTTTAATTTTTCTACCGCAACCGACACGTTTTTTCAGCGTAATGAAAATTGAAGCGGCGACGTCGACGTCGACTGAGAATGGTGGCGAAACTTCTCGAAATATGCCTATCGACTTATCGATGAATCGATGTTGGTATACAATAGTATCGCACTAATTCGATCTTATAATTTATTCGCGCTTTTAACTAGATATTTAAAGAGCTCAATTTAAAAACCCTGTTGCCCCATGTACAGAGTATATGTTTTAGTTTTTATAAGTTATTGGGTAGATTGAAAATGAATGACAGGAATTTCAAACTTATTTAGTCAGATTTCAACAGAAATTTTTATTATACGTATATATATGTATACATTGTCATTTTAGTTTAAAACCAAGTGCGCAAAACAAATTGTAAGTAGGAATGGTTGAGTTCGATACAATACCGAGAAAAATTAAAAACTAATAAACTTAGACTAGGTTGCATTTTAATGCATCTCAGGAATAATTTTGAACACATTAAATAATTAAGAGTGAGTGAGTAAATACCAGAGATTCGATGTAGAAATCAACTAAGAAATCGTAACATTGAGTGTTTCAGCTGAATTTCAAGCTTGTGTTTCGTTATCTGCAAACTCTTCTAGATATGTAGTACTAAGGCCTTGAGCCAATTCTATCGTTGTTCCGTTCTGTATGAAGTACGTGCGCAACTGCAACAATTCTTAAGGATTTGTCGGCGTCCGTAATCCATGTACTGAAGGTAGCGCGTTTCTAAGGTCACTAAGGTGCTAAACATGCTGTATATAAACAGTATTCAACAGGGAATGTATCTTGAAAGTGGATGGAGGTGTCTGGGGATTCAATTTGAGGGTTACTAATTGAGTCTTTTGCATTTCATTAGTGTAAATACTAAGCAGTCTTGCCGGTCCCAAACATGATCGTTGTCATCGTTATTGCTTAAGGCTCTCCGACTCACAGTTGAGCCACCAGTCCCGATGCAGATATATTATCTCCAGCGCCCGCTGTCTTTTTAGCCACTCGACATACCAGCACGGGCGCTACACAAATTTGTACTTCGATTCTTTGCTTTTCTTCGCCATATTGTATAAACTCGTTCCAGCAGGGCACAGGATTGGCTGCGCCAACGCGCATACGTGGTGCCTGCTCCTGGGCGGATGTTGCGAAGCTATCGTCCAACACTAGCATAACCGATTCTGGATTCACCTACAAATGACATTTTTTTTGATGAGTATGAGAGCAAATTAATTAAAGGGATATCGCTCACAAACTGAGTTTTGCAGACATAACGATGAGCTGTCAATGCCGCCTTGGCTGCCGCAGCCCGAGTATTCTTCCACTTCGAATTGGCTACGGTCAAAATGGCCTGATAGGCCAAGGTGTGAACGTGTATTCTAGAGACCATGCGACGTCGCGTGTCAGTCTGACGCTGTGCAGAATAATCTTCCTGTAGACTTATAAATACTTGTCGCATTTGATCCAGCGTATGAGCTACGCGTGGATTCCAGTCGGTGGCTAGCGTGGTGCGTCCATTCTCCAGCACTTGGCGTAGATTTGACAGCTCCTGTTCGTTCATGCCCAGAGAGTCCACATAGGGCAGCACAAACTGACGGAGCTGCTGCAGTAGCTGCAACTCCACATAACTTGCAAACTCGAAATGATGGAGCGTGTCCTGGGGCTGGCTGGTCAGCTGGTTTTGCACCTGAAGCAAGCGTGCCTCACGCACTCCAGGACTAAACTTGAACATGTCCATCATTTGCAGACCGCTGACTACCAGCAGCTGTGGATTATAATGCTTTAATGCGTCCGTCAGCTGCTCCACTGATCTTAAATGCGGGTTATTCTTGTCGTTGTGCAGTATGTAGCGATTGGCGCGTGGCGCCTCATATGGCCCCCATTTATCGCCAGCCTTATACTCGAGTATGAGATGTATATCATCATCAGGTATTTCATCGCCTGCCAGACGTATCTCCTTTGGCAGTAAAGGCCGTAACCTAAAAAATTAATGTTAATCTTATGCAAAAAGCTAAAGGGACGGACGAAGCATACTTTTTGGACATGTGCGCACCCAACAGCACATCTGCTCCCTCCATGGCGAAGCGCACTGCCATCAATGGCGCGTTGCCACCCATATACCAATGAATGCGCTCCTTGTCCATTTCTTTGGCATTGCTTATCAGCTGCTTGAAAAGCGTGCCATTGGCAATAACGCGTCTAAAAAGTTCCAATATATATATATAAGTATATCTTCAGATATTTGTTGTAGATGATGTACTTACTCGGCTGCGGCGCCGTTTTTAAAGTAATAGGCAAACGATTGCAGCAGCTCGTTTTCGTTGTTCACATCAGTTGCCGCAAAATCGGACCTCACATGGGGCACACGCATTTTGTAAAAGTTCTCCAGAAACTCTGTTGCATTTACCTGTAGATCTGTGCAGGCGCCATAGCCAACAGCCACTTTGGGTGCCGGCTCAAAGGCGGACCTCTTAAGGCCGCCCTCAAGCGCCAGGAGCCCAGTCAAGAGTACGGTGGTCTTATTGAGTGCCTGCAGCGATAGAAATGCCTGCCAGATGATCGAAATGAATGCGGTGAACACCGAGCAGCCGGTTATCCAGCCCATGTAACGGAGAGCGCCCATTGTTTGTACGCAGAGGGCAGCAGTCAATAAATTTGTTGTTCTTGTTGGTTAACCGGCCCCAGCTTCGGCGTCTGGCTGTCTTTTAATATGCTTTCGAATGATACGCCGACTGACTCAGCTGCGTGTCTTGCTTATGTGGCTGTTGTTGCAGTTGTCTGTTCTGCTGCGGTCGTTATCAAATAAAGTTTCTGTCGAAATGCTATTTCTGGAGTGCAGCTTTATTAAAAGATAACGTCACAACTCCCATTTGCCGACAGCCAGAATCGCGAGTAAAAGTATCGATGCCATAAGCAGGGGTGTTCCCTATTGAATAATCGTAAATATATGTGAGAATCCAAAAAATTGCTGCTTTCTTTTGAAGGCGAATGCAATGTTACTAAAATTTGCCAAAACTTCGAGTTAATCAATGGAAATCCCCTGTTTCAGTCCTAACTTTGTTTTGGTTTAGCTAATATGGCAAATACAAAATGTAAAAATAATTAAAATATCGTGAAAGAACCGCCGCGAACTACATTTCTCACAGTATAATACATCATAAAACGGGTCGACAAGTGTTTTTTTTTTTAATTCAAACGCATGTAGGCTTTTTACTATGCGTCTTAAATTAGTTTTGTTTTTTTTTTAAAAAGAAAACTACATGTGTTTCAAGAAACAAAGTTTACTTATTAATAAAAAAAAAAACATTTATTGGGAGTACAACAATTACAATTTGCCTATTGCAAATCTTTTACTTTTTTTTTGGTTTTATTTTAAGGTGTTAATAAATTGCTATCTGCTAATTTCTTTTGGGTTTCATCCATTGGAGTGTGCGTTTTCAGATGCCTGCTTAAATGTCTTTTTAAAAAAAATAGCTTCGGGCAGTGGGGACACTTGGTTCTACGCTTCTTCCCAAATGTATTTATTTTTTTTATTTTTTTAATTTTATTGTCTGTTAAGAGATGCATCTCCAGGTGTTTGATTTGATTTGGAATTTGACTTTTATCGTCTGGTAAGAGATGCTCCAGATGTTTGTTTTGATCTTGAATTTGACTTGTATCGGCATTTAAGAGATGCTGCTCCAGATGCTTGACAAGATTATATTTTCTAGTATAATGCTTTGGGCAGTGGTGACACCTGAATATACGCTCGCGAGAGTGAGCTTCTTGGTGTCGTTTTAGAGATTGTCTGATGACAAAAATTTTCGGACATTTCGTACACTTAAAAAGGCCATCTGCCGTATGAGTACGCATGTGGGCTAACAATTTACTTGAATGGAAGTTCTTGCGGCATATTATACACAATTTTGGTTTTGCTTTTGGTTTTAGGATGTTAATTAAATGGTGATCTGCTTTTTGTCTCTCCTCTTGGCTCTCATTCAGCTCTATTTTAATTGAAACCGCGTTTATTTCTGGTACATCACTAAAGTCTTCCATATGTGTTTCTCTTAGGCTCATATATAGCTTCTCATAGCTTTGTTCCGACTTGCACCTCAATCTAAAAGCTGTTTGTACATCCAAAATACAGGAACAGCATATCTTTTTTGTCAGCTTATCCTCCGGCATCACTGGGAACTTGAGGCATTCATTTAACATGTCCACCAGGCTGGGTTGGTACTGAGACCCTTCAACGAATATATCCACCAAGTACACCGAGGACAAGCAAACTCGACAAACTTCATCCATGTGTTATTTTGTGATCTTCCGAATAAATACTAGAGATGCTCGTTTTAGAGTTTAATAATACATCGATAATTGCGTTTTACATATCGAACTGATTAGATATATCGAAACATCTAATTTGAACGCATACAATCGTATACTTTGTTCGATACATCGAGCATTTAATTTCCAGTTTAAAATTCGATGTATCGATGTTTCAGCTAGATATGTCGAATGCCATTGATGACGCTTGGTGATGGGCGCGATGTTTAAAACATATGTTTGGAATATTGCTTAAATTTGTAGTATTTGGCTCGAATTATAATTAATAGCCCTGTTCCACTTTGCCCGAAATATATCTAACATTTTTTATAGAAATGATAAAATCAACAAATGCCAATTAGAGACCTCAAAATTTATAAGTCTGTGCAAATTGTTCTGACTTGGTTCATAATATGGTTGCCAGTATACGTACGTCCAGTTTTAATGTCTGTGTATTTTACCCCAGACAAACCATAGCTTGTCATACATTTTAAAAACCCGCAAGATGATTCTCCAAAAAAAGTCGGTCCCGTTTCCCTTTGCCGTTCCCGCTGTTTCTAGCTCAGAACTATTTTTAATAGCCTAACGAAAGTGAATTTCTGAATTTACGTTTTTCAGACGACGCTCCAACCGGCTCGACGCCATGCGACTTTTCGCAAGCATGTGTGTGAGTGTGTGAACCGGAGACGACCAATTTTGATATCATATGTATACCTCGTACCCACAATGGGCGGATGTTGCGAACAATACTAGCATAACCGATTCTGGATTAACCTACAAATGACATTTTTTGTTGAGTATGAGAGCAAATTAATTAAAGGGATATCGCTCACAAACTGAGTTTTGTAGACATTACGATGAGCTGTCAATGCCGCCTTGGCTGCCGCAGTCCGTGTATTCTTCCACACATCAGTTGCCGCAAAATCGGACCTCACATGGGGCACACGCATTTTGTAAAAGTTCTCCAGAAACTCTGTTGCATTTACTTGTAGATCTGTGCAGGCGCCATAGCCAACAGCCACTTTGGGTGCCGGCTCAAAGGCGGACCTCTTAAGGCCGACCTCAAGCGCCAGAAGAACACCGAGCAGCAGTCCATAAATTTGTTGTTCTTGTTGGTTAACTGGCCACAGCCTCGGCGTCTGGCTGTCTTTTAATATGCTTTCGAATGATAAGCCGGCCGTCTGCTTTCTGTTTAAGGCGAATATAGCTAATATACAAAATGCAAAAATAATTATAATATTAGGAAAGAAGCGCCTGCAAATTACATTTCTTACAGTATAATTCAGCATAAAACAGGTCAACAAGTTTATTTATTTTTTTTTTATTTAAGCCTAGTGCTTTAAGGCTCGTGTTATAAGCTTTCGCTTCAGGTATTCCTTTTTATTTTATTTACTTTATTAGGAGTACAACAATTACGTTGCAAATCATTTACTTATTTTTGGTTTTATTTTAAGGTGTTAATAAATTGCTATCTCCTAATTTCTTTTGGGCTTCATTTATTGGAGTGTGCGCTTTCAAATGCTGGGTTAAAGTCCTTTTTAAATAAAATAGCATCGGGCAGTGGGGACACTTTTTGCTACGCTTCTTCCCAAATGTAATAATTCTTTTGTTGTTTTTCCTCAACAGATTTAGAATTTGACTTTTATCGTCTGGTAAGAGATGCTGCTCTAGATGTTTGTTTTGCTCTTGAATTTGACTTGTATTGCCTGTTAAGTTATGCTTCTCCAGATGTTTGCCTAGATTATATTTTCTAGTGTAATGCTTTGGGCAGTGATGACACCTGAACGTAGGCGCGCCAGAGTGAAATAGTTGGTGTCTTTTGAGAGATACTTTCGCGAGAAAAGTTCTCGGACATTCCGCACACTTAAAAGGTAATTCTTTCGTAGTAGAACTCATGTGGTCCAACAATTTACTTGGGTTTGGTTTTATGATGTTAATTAAATATTGATCTGCTGGTGTGCTGTCCTCTATCTTAATTGAATCCGTGTTTATTTCTGGCACATCACTAAACTCTTCCATATGTGTTTCTTTTAAGCTCATATATAGCATTTCATGGCTTTGTTCCGACTTGCACCTCAATCTAAAAGCTGTTTGTACATCCAAAATACAGGGACAGCATATCTTTTTTGTCAGCTTATCCTCCTGTATCACTGGGAACTTGACGCATTCATTTAACATGTCCACCAGGCTGGGTTGGTACTGAGACCCCTCAACGAATATATCCACCAGGTCCACTGAAGACAAGCAAACGCGACAAACTTCATCCATGTGTTATTTTGTGATCTTCCTAATAAATACTAGCGATGCTCGTTTTACATATCGAACTGATTAGATATATCGAAACGTCCAATATGAACGCATAATATCGGATACTTCGTTCGATACATCGAACATTTAAGATTCCCTGTTTAAAATTCGAGGTATCGATGTCTCAGCTAGATATATCGAATGCCATTGATGGCGGTTGGTGATGGGCGCGATGTTTAAAACATATGTACTTTATTATTACTCGAAGCGCATTGCATATGTTAAATATGTGTATGGTATTTCATATGGAAAAACGTACAGTCAACGTACTCTACATACCCTACCTATGTGAGAAATGTTGACAGTGTAATCTTGCTAAGTAGTATGCCTGCCAAACTTAATGACTTGAGGGGTGAAGATGTACGCGATTTATCCAACACTTTGAAATCGGGGCCAACAATTGCTAACAGATTTTCTGGCATACACGAGTAAATATGCATTCTTAGTCTTATAAGTGACGGACTTTGTTACATCATTTCTTTACTTAAGAGTATAAAATGTTGATAGTGAAGACTCGTTTATAATTTAGATTTTTTTGTATTTTTCATTATTATTATTATCTGATACCACTTGAAGGAAGTTCCCCGCAGCTGGTATATCAAAACGCTGGAATACTAAAAATTTACTATTATTGTTAACTTTATGAGAACTGAAGTATTCCATGAGATGGGCATACTCGATACTCCTTCTCCTCTTTGTATATAAAAGCCTGCGTTAAATACTATATTTAAAATAATTGTTAACTGCTGTCGACTAAACGATTTTAATGATTTTTATGGTACGCAAGTACGTCATCAACCATCGTCTCGCTTACAGGCCGGACTTTAAGACGATGCCAAAAGCGTCGTCGTGTCATTTAAGGCGGTTCCTTCTTGTTTTCTGATGTTGTTAATTTAAAACAAGTTGTTGCTTTATTGTTTCTTTTTTGCTTTAATTGCTTCGTGCCGTTATTTTTATGTATTATTGTATTATATTGAGACAAGGTTATTTAATGGCTACACTGGATTGTTTGTAGAGGAAGTGGAAGTGTTTGTCAAGTCGAGGGTGCCTGCCTATGATGAGATATAATATGCAAAGCTCTTAACGAGTGCTTACCAAGTACTTTGAAGAGTCTATCGAGTTGGTATATTAATATCATATAATTATTGCGAATTACAAATTAGCAATAACCAATTCCTTGTATACATTTCGCATATACACACAACACACAACACCTTTTGACAAGTTTAGTCACTTGGTCCAAAGGTTCATCCAGTGAGATTTTTTTTATAGCAGTGATAAAATCAACAAATGCCAATTAGAGACCGCAAAATTTATAAGTCTGTGCAAATTGTTCTGTCTCGGTTCATAATATGGTTGCCGGTGCACGTACGTCTCATGTGTCCAGTTTTTAATGCCTGTGTATTTTTCCCCAGACAAACCGTAGCTTGTCATACATTTTAAAAACCCGCAAGATGATTCTCCAAAAAAAGTCGGTCCCGTTTCCCTTTGCCGTTCCCTTTTGCTCAGACCCAACACGAGCCTCTTTGCGCATTTCACGGTCTGGTCCGGCCTTAAAAACCGCTTTTCAGCACTTCTTCTGACTTTGGGTCTGGCCAGCGATAAGCACGTCTGCCAAGTGGAGTGCCCGCTGTTTCTGGCTCAGAACTATTTTTAACAGCTTAACGAAAGTGAATTTCTGAATTTACGTTTTTCAGACGACGCTCCAACCGGCTCGACGCCATGCGACTTTTCGCAAGCATGTGTGTGAGTGTGTGAACCGGAGACGACCAATTTTGATATCATATACCACGTACCCGCATTGCGAGGGGGTGTATTCGATCGAAGGTGCGGAAAGCCCAGACAGGTTATTATATTTTGATGTTGCGCACTTTCTGGCCTGAAGCTGGATGCTTGAGTGAACATTTAAATGTTTATCAGTATTTCATTCAGAACCTCGACCTCGAAGCAGTCAAATATACAGGTAAATATTACAATATGCTAAGTACAATCAAGTTCGATTTCAAGATAAATATACTTACTTACTTTGCATAATTTTGAATGAAATATTATGATTTAAAAATAAAACTTTTTATTTTCACATATAAACCGTTATGTAGTCTTTTTTGCTGGGTATTAATATATTTCTATATATATAAATCTACATTTATTTGTGTTGTTGAAAAGTTAACAGGATATGTGAGAGTCGTGCACACTGAACATTACATTTCGCACTTAATTTGTATTGTATTTTGTTCTTTTTACGTGTTTCGTATACTTGTACGTATATATATTTATTTTTTAGTTGTTTTCCATATTATTCTATGCGTACTACGCTGTCCGGCTCTGTGGGCTATCCATATAAAATCAACATAATCAGAAATTCTACCGAGCAGTTGATTCTATGCGGTCGACAAAGACGGACGCGCTGCCTTCTGGGGCTACAAGTTTATAATAAATACAATTAAATAGAAATTATCGCTCGCGAATTTTTGTAATTGTGCAATTCTTCAGTTAGTTGCAAGATTTACTGGTGAAAACAATCAAAGAAAATATAAATATATAGACATTAATTTTTGATCAGCAAATAGATATAAGAGACTCATTTCAAAGGTAATCTAGTTCTGTGTGTGTGTGTGTGTTTGCCGAGATCTAATTAAATTCTAGCAAATGGTGCGTCTTGTGCTTCTGATTGCATTTTCGTTTTGTTTAATTTGGCGCGTTCGTTTCCTAAGTCTTTTGTTTGAAGTCTGTGCATTATGCGAAAAGGAAACAAAATCGAAGTATATATGAATCTTGATCACAACTGGATTTGGCACGCGTATTCGGACCAACTAATTTTGGCAACTTCCGCCTGCCAACCCATTAAAAATGAATTGAGTGCAAAACATTTTCAAACATTTATCGTTCTTTCGTGGCAAAATCGGACCGAATCGAAAGACGTTCAGAGACTGAGCGAGACATTTGTCTTGTTCAGTTTTATGTGATTTATATGTGAAGCATATTTGAGAGACTCAAGAATATGTTCTATTAACTAACAGAAAACACATTTTCGCGGCTCAATGTCAAATTCCTCATGGACTTATGTTGCTATGGATCATTATCCCAAGTGCGAACTATTTGAAGAACATATCTGAAAGAAGCTGTTAAAACAACTGGTCATTTATGCGGAACGTTTTGTTAGAAAACACATTTGCATAATTTTTTTTTATAATTTTATATGGTATATCTCATTTCTGTTGTCAGATTCTTTAATGCTAGATGCTAAAATTGGCCCAGACAAGCTGACGAAGCATAAAGTGTAGTACGACGGAATAGCAAATCAAAACAAGCATCGAAAAGGTGAATAAACTAAACAAACGACGATGTCTCTGTAATGAAATATCTGCCGAGAACGGGTTCAGTGTCGAGGACGTCACCAACGATAGCAAGAGTTATGCGTGACCGCAAGACTTGGCATTAATCTCGACTTCGTTTCAGTTGTAAAACACGATGGGCAAGTCGTCATTTAAGGAACTGTCACTGTGCCTGCTTGTGCTGCTGCTGCCGCAGCTGCTGGGCTTGACGGGCCGTGTGACGTCACAGCGCACGTCATTGGACGTGGCCTTAAGGAATGCCTACCGGCCACTGCGTCTGCTGGGCCTGGCCTTCAGCGGCCGCTCCGGCGATGAGCCGGCGAACGTGCAACGCGTGCGTAATGCGGGCGTAGGTCTTCCCTTGTTGCAGTCTATATTCCCGTCTCTTTATTTGTGTTCGTTTTGTTTTTTCACTTCTTAGAAAACCCAAAAGTCCAATCCTCGCACGCGCGCCCTGCTGCAGTTCTGCGATGCGGAACACGGACCTGGCCGACGCAGCGCGGAGCGTCCGTCGAGCGTGCATCGGTTGCGACCCGGCGATATAGACATTATCGCTGGCATGGGCGACTCTCTGACCGCGGGCAATGGCATTTTTGCCTCCAACCTGGGTCACGTCACCGTCGAGAATCGTGGCGTGGTTTGGTCCATTGGCGGACAATACAATTGGCGCAAGTATCTAACCTTGCCCAACATACTCAAGGAGTTCAATCCCAATCTCTATGGCTACTCGCTGAGGGACGGCTTGTCCACAGATCGCTCATCGCGCTTCAATGTGGCCGAGCTGGGCGCCATGTCCCGGGACATGCCCTACATGGCCAAGGTGCTGGTGAAACGCATGCAGCGGGATCCGCATGTGAACATGACCCATGACTGGAAGCTGGTCACCTTGTTTATAGGCAACAATGACTTCTGCTCCGACATTTGCTTCTATCCGCAGCCGGAGCTGACTGTTGCATGGCACGAGCGGAATATGCTAAAGACCTATCGCTATCTGAGGGACAATGTGCCACGCCTGCTTCTGAATGTGGTGCCAGCGCCCAATCTGCGTTTCCTAACCAAGCTGTCCGGCCTGCCGCCCATTTGCATGACCACCTTGCGCTTCGAGTGTCCGTGCCTGATGGGCAAGAGCAAGCAGCTCTTGGATTTCTACGAGGGCATCATGAAGCGCTGGATAGCCAAGGACTATGAGATTGCCAACAGGGAGGAGTTCAATACGGAGGTGGGTCCATCCCATCTGATGTAGTTGAAGCCTGCTTTCAATATACTTTTTATTATTCTCTGCAGACGTTCACCATCAATGTGCAGCCCTTTTCCCAGTTCGATGATTTTCCGCGCACGCGTGCCGGCTTGACGGACATGCGCTTCTTCTCCGAGGATTGCTTTCATCTGAGCCAGCGCGGTCACGCTTCGGCGGCCAACGCGATCTGGAACAATATGCTGGAAATGCCCGGCGAGAAGAGCGGCTTTAATGTGCATCTCTTTGAGCAGTTCAACTGCCCCAGCGAGAAGCGTCCATACCTGATCACCCGAGAGAATATTCGCGCCGATTTTGTCATCTAGTCGACAACTGCCAATATTATTAAATCCCACACCGACTGTGATATGTCTGTCGCCTTAGTCTCGACCATACTTGTTTGTAGTATTCATTTACGCTTCCATAAATATACGCTTAGAAATTAGAAAAATTCACGACTTGCCTAATGACTAACTCAAACGAAGCTCGCATAATTTATTAGCTCCCGAGCGGAATCAGCTGGTGAAATATATATATACTATATATAAATTATATTCCCTGGCTGATTTCCATATCAGCGTCTGAATTGGAATGCGCGCGATCGGAGTCGTCGCCAGTTACATTTTAGCCATAACAATTAGTCAGTAGGGTTACTCACAAATCGCTTGATACCAAATTAATTAGTTTAATCGCAATGATTAAAAAGAAATTACGACTTTAACTGTATATAGTAAAAAAGAACCGAAACGGCTTGAATCCGACTTGGCAAACTATTTTTAAAGCCATATTCAAAAAGAAAATAAAGAACTTTTGCGGAAGATCTAGCCCAAAGTATAAATAACTTGGGCCCCTGATCTAACCATAGTGGGACGATAACAAATTTAGCCCGCACCTTGTGTATGAAAGTATTAACGTCTTGCAATATTTTCAGAACAGCGGGCAGCTTTAGATTACGAAATAGATTGTTTATTTAAAATGTTGAAAGATCTGGTTTTGAGGATGTGGAAAGCCACTTTAACGAACTGCCACTAAAGGCAGAAAGCTGGTTCAAACCACCAAATAATTTTTTGATTGGTTTGCTTCCCTGATTACTTTTTAGCACATTCATCAGGCTTACATCTTTATTGATTTCTGGGATCACCAGATACCAGTTTGGCGAACCGCTCCTAAGGGCTGAAAGCCGGCTCAAATCCCACTCTGTATTTTTGTTCTGATTTGCAGCCCTGATTACTTTTTAGCGCAATCATCCGGTTCATATTTTTATTGATTTATCGAAACACACTTTTACAACTGTCAGCACAGCTGTCGTGTGCCGATATCGGCTCAACTTGTGTGGCAATAAAACTTGTTACAAATGTTTTTTTAAAACCACATAAAGCACCAATAAAGCCCGGCTCATAATAATAGCCAATTTTAATATGTAGACGTCGCCTCGGAACGTGTTTTCGCGGCTAATAGCTGCCCATTTGTGCGATGATCAACGGTTTCGCATGCAAGTGCCAAAAGGTAAATGAAATAAAAACATCAATTACGTTATTTTCTGCTACTTCTTCTCACTTTTCGAGCTGATTGCAGCACTTTATAAATGCCGCCTGCAGCCCCCCACCAGACGATTATAACTGCTGCCGCCTGTCCATGTAATTCGGTCAGTGTTAAGGTTAATGCCAGGCGTTGCGCGGCATCACGACTTTCGCTTTGACTTTGAACTTGAGCGCGCGACTGAAGCACACATTTGATTACAGGGTATCGCCCATTAACTGCTTAACGTCAAAGCCAATTAGCTCGGCACATTCTCTCAGGTATCAATTCTTATGATCTGAATAGGGTATATTGGTTTGCCTGTAATGTTCTCTGTCCATACGTTCGACTTCCATTTTGGGATACATGGTATACAATGGATACACCCACTGTGGGCGTGGCAGATCATCTAAATCTTCTCTAAATTACGAGTCATTTTTTTTTTGGCATAAATCACTTTTCTAATTGTTGGGTGCGTTAATGGGTATCGCGTAGTCGGCTGCACCCGACTGTAACATTCTTACGTGTGCTTTTCGCTTCGTATTTCACCTGCGCATGGCCAGCATGTTTCTCAAGTTCTTGACTGTTTTAAGTCACATCAAAGTCACACAAATTTTGTAATTTCGCATAAACAGATTTTGGATGCCATTTTAAGATAAATGCTTCACAGCTTTTAATTACTCCTTTGTCAAAATTATCAGAAATTATTTAAGTGATTTGGCTCGTATCAGGTATCGAATATTATTAAATATGCTAATTTCCTAATTAGTTACTATTAGTCATTTTATTAATAGCTCTGTTTACGCGTTTTCAGCATGTGTGCAAACTTTCAAGCGGACATGATACGAAGTTAATTTAATTTGTTTTTATCTCATTTTCAAGCTGTGCGTTTAAGCAAATAAATAAATTAATAACATATAAACAAATATTTTTGTAGATAACTTTTTAGCAAACGGCATTTAAATAAATATAATATGATTTTGCTCTACTAGCGCCATCTATTCAATTGTAGGTGTAACTACAAATTGCTGTCAGTGTGTACCTACAAAAATAGTTCACGGTAGAAAACAATGATAGTTCCGCAACGCCCCAATAGATGGAGCTAATATTTGAATTGTTCTCTTTAACTTGAATTAAAAAACTAATTTTTTAATAATCAATGAAGCAATTATTATTTCGCATAAACTATTATAGTAAAAAAAGAGGAAAGGAACGAAAATAAAAAGGAAATTTGCACGTCAATTTAAATATACGCTTTACTTTATGAGCAAGGTTTTTTATAAGCCCAAAGCAAATTCAACTTTTTTTGTTGCAGTGCATATCGGAAAACTATATGAATATATATCTGCAAGCTGGTTCTTGTTACCAAGTCTGAGACTGTGCTGTGCTTTTCCACTTGAAAAGGTCTTTAGCAATAACATTGAAAATGAAATTTTGGCAAAGAGTTTCGAGTTTTTCTGCTGTATTCAGCGCAAAAGTGAAAACCACAACAAAACGGCTGAAAGTGAGGCGAAATGGCGAATTCTGCTTAGCATGCAATTTGTTTGAAATGTTATAAATGCTCGGCCCCAATGGCAAGAGCTGAGCATTTCCAGAAAATACCTCGGTCTCAAGAGTTGACAACATGGCAGTCGAAAGCAGGCAAATTCAAGCAGCCGCAATTATATTCTTGTTGGGTAAGTCGCAATTATGTTAGCCGTTCGGGTTTTGACGATTAAAATGAATTTCGCGATTTTCGCAGCTCTGCGGCATTGTTGCGGGTTGCCCTACGGCTCGGCTGGCAATGATATTGACATTGATGGCAACTACCAGGGCACGGGGGGAGGCGGCGCCAACGGAAGACCCGTTGACTATCACACGGTTGTGGGCCACTTTAAAGACTTCTTTATGTATCTGCCAGTTATGATGACAACAATTAAGGAAACCATGTCCGGATTTCCCAAATTTGCCGAAGGCATGCGCATATTAACCTCCGGCAAGGGCCGTGTCGACGGCGAGGACTGCAAGTGCAATCAGAACAGCCTCGGAATGGGGTCCAGCAGTGAGGTGCTCGAAAACAGCAGCCGCTTCGGTTGACCCAGTCAGCATTTGCAAGTGTATATAGTTTGTGTAGATACTAATGACTACCTAGTGCCAAGTAAAATAAATGATACATCTTAACTTTAACTTAGTTATATTTAGGTTAAGTAAACATATCTAACTTTATATAATATACAAAAGTTTAATAAATTATATCTTTTATTCTTAACTTCTCACTTGCAAGTTGCATCTCTCAATTTCTCAAAGGCAGACTGACAAAGGGGAATACAAAAGTGAAAGAGAGAGAGAGAGAGAGAGAGAGAGAGAGCGTGAAAGAGAGGGTAGGAATTTTACAAAGGTGTGAAATTTGTGTTCGATTCCAATTTTCCACATTTGAGGGATTTTGAACTAAAATCGCATAAGAAACATAAGAAACAATTTGACAATCAGTGAGTCAATCAATTTAGTCAATCAATCAATCAGTTAGTCAATCTGTAAGTCAATTAGCCAGTCAGTCAATCGATCGATATCAATATGTAAGTTAAATATTTAATTAGTTAGTCAATCGGTTAGTCAGTTAGTCATTCCGTAAATCAATCAGTTAGTCAATCGATCAATCAATCAATCAATGAGTCAATCAATTAATTCGATCAATCAATCAATCAATCTGTCCGTCAAAACAAACAGTTATTCGTAGCGCAAAATAAATGGATTTACATGTCATTTAAATTTGTTTGTCAAGTTCTTTGACTAATTACGAATCGTGAATATTGCACATTTCTGGGTAATAAACTGTAATTGAGGCATATTAAGCCATAACTTTGGCTATTAGACAATAGCGTAGTGTAAACTTGACCCACAGGAGTCGCACTGTCCTTGAACGTATATAACCACACGCTTGTTGGCCAATCTTCTATGGCCCATTAGGCAATAGGCCAACATGAGTGGACTTGAACTATATTTGTGTTTTCTTAAGTAGTCAATAGTTGCGACGTTTCATTAGCCAGACCATGTGGCGAGTATAGAAATCATATATGGCAGCTAATCAAAGCTGACAATCTGCATGGGACCGAGGGAGTAGGAAGTAGTCGCAGCTGGTACTCCTGTGTGTGTGTGTGTGTGTGTGTCCCGCCATATTTACACTTGTCATTATTGTTAATTGTGTTTGTTGTGGGTCAAGCATACAAGAACCATATTTACACATGCATGTGCAGCGTTTGGGTTCATAGAAATTGTGGTTTTAGTAACGCTCGGGTCTCTGGGTCTAACGGTACGTTGTGAAATCGGCAACTGTACCCTGCTGGAACCAGTATGCGAAAGCGCAAAAAGCCAGCTACTACTTACTAGAGCAGCTAACGGTAAGTGTCTGGCTTAAATGGCTACGGGAATCGAGCTGCTTGTGGCTGCTGCCCTGTGCCTGGCCTGTCCACCGATTAACGATACCCTGCCGCCGGATCTGATACAACTGAATGAGGATGGGAGCCTGGTCACTGAGTTGCCCATGGATGTGGAGGCGGCGAGTGTGGGACTGGACGAGGATGCGCCCATAGAAACGCTGGAGGTGATACGCAACAAAAAGGAGAAGCTGCGCAATATGAGGGAGTGGATAAATGGGAAGCATCTGCGCATTGCCACGCTGGAGGATTATCCGTTGAGCTACACCGAAATGCTCGACAGTGGCACTCGGGTCGGTCGCGGCGTTTCATTCCAGATCATTGGCTTCCTCCAGGAGAAGTTCAATTTCACCTATGACGTGGTTGTGCCGCAGGACAACATAATTGGTTCCACAGCAGACTTGGATCGCAGTCTAATTGAAATGGTCAACAATAGCGTAAGTGCAAAGCTCCCTTTCAACCCTATGCCCATGATCCACGATCCTTCCATGACAGCTAGTGGATCTGGCTGCCGCCTTCA